GCTTTGCATGTCAACCTGGTTACTTTGGCAAAACTTGTGAACGCCATTGTGGGACTGATTGTGCAAGGTGCGAAATGATGAATAAAGACGGGCGATGTGATGACGTTTGTGTCACACTTTGTTCAAACGATACAAATGGACTTCCCGGCCCTGGTTATGTTGTACCTACAGGTGAGTTTCTATGTCATTTGAAAGTTGTAGCGATCAAGGCTAAAGTTATCATTTAAACTCAAATGTTTTTGACCTTTTGTACAGCTACATACACGTGGTACATATCACGTGACCATCTACTTCATTAAAGTGAACACATCTTCATTCTATTAATTAGTGTTAGTCTGTTGAAGCTAGTCACATCCCAGGCCACAGTCAGTTATACTTCGATGTGATTTGCGATTATGTTATTCGGTTTTTTCTCAAGTAAGTGTTCACCAGTTGCACACCTCGCATGTTTCAGACAGAAAAGGCTCTACTTGTCTAAGGTGTCCTAGACTTCTTTGACAAAGGGTTTGAATCCCGATTTTCCCTGATTCTATTTCCACGTGCGGCAGCACCACACCTGGGTTTACTCGTTTTTTTAATTGAGGGGGCGATCACGTGTCGAGTAAGAAAGTTCCTACATGTTAGAATAGTGAAATTACTATCTTCATAGAGCTTTTAAAAATGATGGTAATTAGCCATGCTTTAGGAAATTTCGAACATTTGAGTCCAGCTCCATAAGAAAAGGTAATATTATACTGGAGAATTTCATTAGTGTTTCAAGAAATCATGGCTCATAACTTGATATATTACTCATAAGGGTAGACTGATGGTCTGTAACAAATTTCCGATATTTTCTCATTGATCTGATTGTTCAGTTGAAGAATAATGCTTAATTGTTGAGAAAATACATGACGTCATCGATTGTGCATGCCGTCACAAATTCATTACCTGACGTCATCTTCACAATAGCCTGCCTTCAGTGAGTATGGTTTTACGTCGCTTTAGCAATATTCCAGCAATATCACGGCGGGGGACACAAGAAATGGCCTTCACACATTGTGTCCATGTTGGGAATCGAACCCGGGTCTTCAGCGTGACGCTTTAAACACTTGGCATCCCCACCGCTCCTGCCTTCCTTGAATTTTATCAGTAGGGTTGACATTTTTTAAGGCTTACTCACTTTACATGTCTATGTTGTATGTGTCTGTTTGTTGTTGAACGCCACACATAGCAATATGCCAGATACATGACGGCGATCGGAAAATAAGTCTGGACCAGATAATCTAGAGATTGATATCATGAGAATTGATCCACACATCTGAGATACGATGACATGCATCAACTAAGTCAATTAGTCGCCTCTTTCGACGAGCTTTTTTTGAAGACCTATTATAACAGGGATCTTCACTGGTTATTTTTGGCTGGTAATATATGGAATAACCTCCCTGAAACTGATCATGCCTACCACGTGAATGAATACTCTTACGAAATAACATAGTCATAATGAAACTATAAGCATTTGCCAAAGATGTTCCATGGCAATATGAATTTCCCCATCAACAACTTCTTATTCTACCTCGCATCCAATAAAATGAAAAAGGTTTTTGCCATTTATCAAACTGAGATCCAACTTGACTATGATACTTAAACAGTGCATTTTTGTTTCAGATGAGAGGAATACATCAGGCCGTTGTGGAAATGGATTCCTGCAGCTTCCTGTCACACTTCTCCTCATGAACCTTTCATTCCATTTATTATGTAGATGAAATTGTGATGCATTAGAAATGCCCCCGTTAAGGTGGCATTGACCATCAGTAAAATATGTGTGTCGTGTGTTTCATCTGTTTGGTCGAACAAATTTCGAACTGCATGTACATGACGGACAAAAATAAGCCTGAACCATTCCATGCTGTCAATACCACATCGTCCTTTGTTGGAGATCAGATTGCGACAGATAACAGCAGCACATATTGAACTAGATATGATTGCACCCTACCGATAAGTGTTTACGCTTCCTTCGCAATAAGTCAAACCAGAAGTAGACATTACACTTAATAATTGAATAAATCTGATACAAACCAGTTAATCCTTCAGCAATAATATGTTCAGTTACCCTCTAAACATAATTCTCACCACTCCATCTTCACAGATGGATCCAAGGATGGCGCCAAAGGTGCAAGCGCCACCATCATTGGTTCAAAAACTATTTCTTCAAGCTTACCAGATACGGCTACATACTTACTGCTGAAGCTGAGGCTATTCAAACAGCCATGACACATATTCAGAAACAAACTACAAACTACAAATTCTTTGTAATGCCTTCAGACACTTAAGAATGTCAACTCGAATCATCCGCTAAGATCACTTTTCACCCTGAATTATCATCCTCTGTTATTGATTTGTAAACCTTGAGAATTTTGTAATACATTTGTTGATTGCACACCATTTGTTGTTTATTTGTTACTTTCACACTTACTTCTTTTCCATACAGATTTTTGGGCTGATATATTGACACGTAACAAAGCATAGAGTTCATCTTCTGCATAGCTCACCTATTGACTGTATACCTGGCGTGATATAATGTGATAGGACGTTCAGATAGATACATATGACATATAACCAAAAGGTAATGCAGTTCAACACCGTTGTGTCGAAATTGAACCAACCCACGTAAATATTTTGCGAAGCTTTGACACAACGAAAATCATGATTAAACAATGAATACACAGGGACCAAGTATCTCTTTCTACGAGACAACCACACGTTCGACACAACAAACGACGTTTGACTGTATATGAATTGACTGGGAGTCAAGATTAGCTGATCTGTTGGCCGCCGATGTCTGGCTCGCCCCCTTTACACGTGGTTGTTGGCCCAAGAACATTTGCAACAAGTCCTACACTGTGAATCATTCCATTCAAGTTTACCTTGGTAACTTACCAGACACAAGTGATGACAGTATTATTCTGAAATATGTGAAAGAATAGGTGTGACAGAGGACTATGTTGGCAATGGTATCATCCAGCTTGAATCGGGCACGGGCGGCACTGTCGTCTAAGGAGCCGCGATTCGCTATGCAGAGTTGCGTCCCTTTGGCACGCCAGAAACCTATGATTGTGGGTTAGAAATTATGTTTCTAGGTTTGTCAGCACCATGCCCGTGCTCATTGGTTTCCCCGAAGTAGTAAACGTCTTAGAGCTGCATCAGTTTGGGCTTTCCTCCCACATTAAACTGACACGCCGTGATATAACTGGAATACTGTTAAAAGCGGTGTTAAACCCAACTCACTCACTCACTCACTCACTCACTCACTCACTCACTCACTCCGCCTTGAATCACCTCCATCACGGTCTTCATGCGTTGTAACACACGTAAATTGATAAGAAATAGTAACTAGAGGATTACAATCTTTATTTCAGGTTTAGATTTCATGATATAAGTCAAATAACAAATAACTTTATGCAGGACCAAAGGAACGCATCAACATCAAATATTCTTCCACCTGAAAAGGTTTCTACTTGGCGAGTATTCAGAGTATTTAGTGTGCTCGGATCTCTATGTGGCTGGGATATTGCAACCTACTTTAACAGTCTCTTCTCACTGAAAGTTAAATGAATGACCCGCACTACAGGTGTGAATGTTGAGTTGATGGTGTTGATGTTGATGATCTTAGGAAATATCTGCTACAAGCAGGGTCCATTATATATGATTAATTATGACTACTCCCGGTTTTTGCAGCACTTTCCTGCTACCAAGACTTTCTAGATTGACGGTATATGTGAATGTGTTTCGTCAGCTGAAAAAACACACTGACATATGATGGTACTAGTCAAAGTAAGTAGCTGCACTGGATATCATTTTTGTCACAGTACTGATGCGTCAAATTTGGAAATATCCTCAACATGCTTTGAAACATTTGCTGCGACCTTGAATGCTGCTTAAGGGAAATTGACATTAGGAAAGTTGGACGTCATGAGGAGAGACTTTGTCACTCAGAATCTTTATGCATAGGTCTAAAAATAAATCCGTAGAGGCGGTACACGACACAAGAAGTTTTATTTGACGTCGGTTATTACAGGTAACAGTATAACATTGGCTCTTGAAAGCTATAAATGCCATATAACAATGGAAAGAAAATGAATAATATACTGAAATGTTAACATGTGTATTTGAAGCTAAAACATGTTTATAGTAAAAATATTAAAAGGAAATACAAGGAAATCACAAGGATATTCATAAAATATTTACAAGTAGAACGTTTGTACATTCGGAAAAAGCCTGCAGAAATCTCAGATTTTCGAAAATTGTTTGGCAGATGAAGATCCTGGTGGCCTCAAAATAGTGTTGTGTTGATACCCGGGGAGTCTCCGCCATCAGATGGAATAGGTCGGCGTCTTTGGGGTTATCAAATGTTGGTCACTGGTCTCTTTTTAGTTACTCCTTATGGGTGAATCTTCGGGAGGGAACTGGCTTGATCATCATACCATCATTCAAAATATATTTTATGAATAACAAGGAAACAGAACAACTACTACATGCAAACAAAGATTTAAAGTTAAACATCACGAAACAAATCTAGGACGATTAGTATTTTACTTATGTACTAGTTATTGTGTGTACGCTGTTTATGCTGTTTGTTAGTTTGATGTTTAACGGCGACTTGTAAATAATTGAATCAGGAGCGGATCAGATAAGTCAGTAATTGTTATTATTAGTAAACTTGTCTGACTGCCTGATCAACTGAGTTGCCTCTTATAGCCCTTAGCTGTATGGGACCTGTTCCAATCCAGAATCCCCATGGGGATCACATTTAATTATTCACTTTGCCTAGATTTAAGTATGAGAGTATAAACAAACAGGATATCATTGAGTATGAGAGAGTACGTAACCTATGCATGCAGTATTGGTGTAAAATAAATAACCACAACCAACATAAAATATAGTCTGTATGTTCCCCTGTTATATCGAAGATGTAAGGACGAAGAAATCCCTTTCTGGGCAAGGAGGAAACAGACTTGGAAACGATCTCACATGATGTTTTATTAAGCCTCTTATCCCATGGACGTTGGAATATGTAGATTTGGGTCTCCAACAACAATATCAGCAGTTCATAATTATGAAGATTTCATCCAACAGTCCAAAATGATATAACCCAGCCGTACATGGTGATCATCAGTTTGACAATTGATCCATACATATTCACAATGACCTTCAATTCGGTGTATAAGGCATATGTCGATACTATTTAGTCATCATTTACATGCGTCTGAATAGGCACACATAAGCTTTCATTCACTCATGATACCATACATACCTTGGAGTTGTGTTACATTTGTGGGTCTGTTACAAAATCACATTTTTCTTTTACAATCTTTGTAGCCTCTTGTTCCGGACCATAAAGATGCCAGCATACACACTACACGTTAAGCTGGCCATTTGACACACGATCCTTGTTTAAAAGCAACAATTGCCCACAATGCAGTAATTTCAAATAGTGTTAGCAACATCATATAAAGTAAAATATCATTTGTATCCGCAATTAATATTCATTTCACTTTTTGTTATTTGTCATCCAACATTGTAATTCATCTTGAGAGAGCGACAACATCGAAAATGATTATTTGCTCATTCATAAATCCCCATCAACCCGCCTTTTTCAGGTACCTTTGTTAAGCTCTGCAGCCATTGAAATGTGCGTGGACGATGTAGTTGGCTTTGGATACCCTGCCCCCACTGGTTTGTCAAAAGATCTAGTGGGTGGCAATTGGTTCTGTGTCACATGTAAATCATTTCAGTCAAACTAAAAGTGACAATTGTGGAGATTTGTGAGCCAGTCATCTTAGGCCGTGAACCAAGCAATGAACTGTGGGTAGGATAATTAAGTCAGTGCCACCTGGTGAACCAACCAGGTATATAAATGATAATCGAGCCAGTTTGATTTTGTGGCCATATGAGATGAGGTAAAATGGGGTTCGACGTCGCGTCCAAGATTTTTGCACTCATATACCGACGTACATGCACGTGAATGTGGCTGTTTGTACCAGTCCGGACTGATGCCGACTTTGTTGTGTAAAAGTTCACTACTGGTACTGTCCACTGTACAGCTGTAACAATTATTTCACAGAAAGGAGTCATGAATCTGGTTTGCCATAACAACACAATTTTAGTTGAGGGTTATTCACATCTAGCTGCAGATGTATTAATTAGATGATAGTCTCGGATGTTGAGGTGTGACGTCTCATACAACCATCTAGCACTAATACATTGTGAATTTGGATTCAAAGATATATTCAGTACACCAATAGTGTGCATATTTGTAACTTGAAATAAATGACACATGTATGAGCCTCGTTGTGACTTGCTACCCATACAGCTACGGACTGTCTGGGCCCCACCGGTATCTCTCTTCGACTGGAGACATTTGAAAGAATCTCACTACAAATAATTTCAAAGGCTTGACCAAATACGTCATTTGGGGTATAGTGTGCACATAAAAATACCGAGTGTCGGAAAGACACATTGAGGTAATACCATACTGGCTATGATGAAACATACATGACTCAGTTACACATATAAACACACATGATATATACTGGGCGGTGTCGATTAAAGTACACACCATAAACTAAGTCCCCAGTGTCGATCTTGTTGGTGCCAGTATGGTGGTTCTTATATAAGTGCAGGGCCAGCAGCATGGTGGCTATGGTGGGATCTCTATGGGACAGACGAGTGCACTGCTTGACCCTGTGATTTGGTTTTAAAGTGAGTGAGCGAGTGAGTTGGGGAGGTTTAACGCCCCTTTTAACAGTAATCCAGTTATATCACGGCGTGTCAGCTTAATGTGGGAGGAAAGGCTTAAGTGATGCAGATCTCAGACATTTACCACTTCGATGAAACCCACGAACTCGGATATGGTGTTGAAAAACCTAAAATCATAATTGGGGCGAACCGGGATTTGAACCACAATCATAGGAGGGACGCAAATCTGATCAGTGAATCGCGGCGTCTTAGTCGACAGGGCCCCCTGTGCCCCCCTTGGCTTTAAAGGGCACAATGCAATGGTGATGATCATTAATACTGAGATCAGCTTTTTTATCTAATGACAATTGAGTGATGTACAGTCATACATGGTAATTACCCTATGGATGAAAAGTTGTCCTGAATCGGTTGCTGTGATCGCATTTCGTGACGCTGTTTTAGAATCTTATCAGGACTTTGTACAATGTACCTTCCAATTTTTTTAAGCCTTTCCCGGAAACACAACACAATACCAAGTACAATTACACAAAAGAGCAGCGTTAGTCCAATAGCAAGACCTAAGGTAAGGTCGGATGGTGATGACTCTGTAGTAGATGGACTTGTGGGTGTTGACGACCTCTCAGATGCTGTTGGTGAGCTTGGTGACGTGTAGCTTGTTCCTTAAATAGAAAAAAGGCTAATTCAAATTGGCAGAAAACATTCGTAGATATTTCGTTCTCGTCCTACACTCATGTGAAGCACTCAAATGACACAACTGAAATTTGTCAATGTCAAGTGTTGGATTACCCTTAATAAATGTTAACAAAAAAAACCACTTCAACCATTACAATATGTATTTGAACTGAAGGAATGGAATGAAGACAGTTTTGTTTGTTTGTGGAGCTACATGCTGGTCTGTAAATGATCCAATCAGGGCCAGTAAGTCCAGTGATTAACATTATGACCATTGATGTACGCAATTGAAAACAATAACATGCAATCCAACAAGTCACCGACTCATGGGTTGTTGATGACCTTTTCTAGTATATCGACCAAGCGACCAGACCCCACGTTGTTCCACTTTTTTGCATAACATCAACAAGACATTTTCCAGCAGGACAACGCTCGTCCCCATGTTGCCAGTGCTACCATGGCCTTTCTGTAACAACACAACATCCGTGTTCTACCGTGACCAGCCCTCAGCCCTGATCTGAACCCCATCGAACACTTGTGGGATGAGGTTCAAAGGCGTCTGCACAATGTGCGCCCAGTCCCTACTACTGCCGATGAACTACGCACAACTGCTCTGGATGTGTGCAGGAGGAACCCCAGGGCCTTCACAAATCGCCTGTTTCACTCAATGTACAGGAGATGTGTGGCAGTGATCAATGCTAATGGTGGTCACACCAGGTATTGACTGACATTTTTGGTATTGACCCGAAACTGTGTAAGCCCTTATCATTTTAAAAAAAACAATTATGTCATCTGCCTTTTAATCCATTAAACTGTCTTCAATAATTTTTGTGTCAATCTTGCCCTATTAGTATTTCTTGTCTTTACTTTTGAAAATAAATAACATGTTTCTTTTGCGTGTGAGTATACAAGACGTCATGTGATTTTGTGGATTTAATTTAGTTTCAAAAGGGGAGTTCGCTCTTTTTAAAGGGTCGTTTAAAAAGTGGTTATTGCTGTAAAGTTACCTCAGTGCAAAATTTCAATTTTCGGGTTACCCTGAACAAATCTTAACAAAATAAACAACAATACCAACCTTAACAGTATAAGTTTTAACTGATGGAATGGTCTGAAGACAGTTTCGTTTGTGTGTATGTTGTTTTACGCCGCACTCAGCAATATTCGCGCTACATGCTGGTCTGTAAATAATCCAATTAGGGCCAGAACGTCCAGTGATTAACATTATGACCATTGATGTACGCAATTGAAAACAATAACATGCAATCCAACAAGTCACCGACTCATGGGTTGTTGATGACCTCTTCTAGTCTGGAATCGACAAGGGAACCCGTGAGGGTGGTAGTTACGTACCTGTCGACGTAGGGGATGTTGTTGGTGAAGGAGCAGCTAGAAGGAGAACAATAGACGCGTAATATTTGTACAAGACGTCTTGTGATTTTGTGGATATAATTGTGTTTCAAAGGGGAGTTCACTCTTTTTACTAGGTCGTTTAAAAAGTGTTTACTGCTGTAATGTATACCTATAGAAAGTGTGTTCTGCGTTGGGATTGGCTAATTTTGGTCACATGACCAAATGTCAAAGGGTGAAAATATTAAATGCATTCCCTGAAGCAAGCGACCGAATCACGGTGTAGGAATACATAATTACTCAGCATTTTTTGCATACTACTTGACATTCATAACAAATATTTTAGTTTTCTCTATTCATGGGAACTTTCGGGATTTTAAATTTTTAATTAAAAAATATTATAATGAAATAATGACCAAAATTACAATCACCATAGCAACAACAGAATGCTCTATGTTGACGTCTCACAACCGAGTAAGTAAGAGGTGTTCAAGAGTGCGCTAGTTTTTTTCTAAATAAAACAATAGATTTACAATATTGATAAATACTATTGCGTGTCCATTTCCGGGATTTTTCCGAGAATGGTAGTTACGTACCTGACGGTGTCGGGGATGTTGTCGGTGAAGGAGCAGCTAGAAAGAGAACAACAGACACGTACTATTTGTATACCCACACGCAAAAGAAACGCAAGTGGTTTTAAGCAAATAGGTAACAAACACGGAACCATAAATTGACACGAGTTTTAGCATGTAATGAGGCCTGATGGTGTTTTCAATATTTTTGGTTGCATTTTGGAAGCCCCGAGTAAAAACGCAACATAAAAAACGAATCGCCAAAACGCACTATTTCAATGAATATATGGGTATCATGCACCCATTTCTAGCGAAATCGAAAATGCACGATTCTTGGACCTACCACACCTTGGTAAACAATGCCGCGCCTAACTCAAATGCAGAGAAACCAGGCTATCGGACGTTTGGAAGCTGGAGAGTCTGTCCAAGATGTTGCCCGTCATTTCAACGTTAACATAGCCACAATTTACCGTCTACTGCATTGATACAATGCTACACAGACCACAGATGACCTTCCTCGGAGCGGTCGTCCTAGGGTCATCATACCTCGACAAGATCGCCAGATTACCCGTCAACACCAGCGACATCCGTTCCTAACTGCAAGTGAAAGTGCTCGACAGGCCGTGGGAACACATAATCGACACATTAGCCGGGACACTGTGATCCGACGTCTCCGTTCAAACAACCTCAGATGTCGCCGACCAGCACGTCGTCCTGTTATCCAACCACGTCATCGACAAGCACGACTTCAGTGGGCACATGGTCATCACAATTGGCGTCATCGTGACTGGAGGCGTGTAATCTTCTCTGATGAAAGTCGCTTTTGTGTCTCCCATGCAGACGGAAGAGTCAGAATTTGGCGGCGTCGAGGTGATCTTTTCGCTGACAGAAACGTTGTGGAAAGGGATCCATGGGGTGGACCTAGCGTTATGATGTGGGCAGGGATCGGACTTATTGTGAGACTTAGACCCATGTGCTTTCTGAATGTTGGTCAAGGTCGGGGACACAGCGTCACTGCTCAGCGGTATATCGACCAAGCGACCAGACCCCACGTTGTTCCATTTTTTTGCATAACATCAACAAGACATTTTCCAGCAGGACAACGCTCGTCCCCATGTTGCCAGTGCTACCATGGCCTTTCTGTAACAACACAACATCCGTGTTCTACCGTGACCAGCCCTCAGCCCTGATCTGAACCCCATCGAACACTTGTGGGATGAGGTTCAAAGGCGTCTGCACAATGTGCGCCCAGTCCCTACTACTGCCGATGAACTACGCACAACTGCTCTGGATGTGTGCAGGAGGAACCCCAGGGCCTTCACAAATCGCCTGTTTCACTCAATGTACAGGAGATGTGTGGCAGTGATCAATGCTAATGGTGGTCACACCAGGTATTGACTGACATTTTTGGTATTGACCCGAAACTGTGTAAGCCCTTATCATTTTAAAAAAAACAATTATGTCATCTGCCTTTTAATCCATTAAACTGTCTTCAATAATTTTTGTGTCAATCTTGCCCTATTAGTATTTCTTGTCTTTACTTTTGAAAATAAATAACATGTTTCTTTTGCGTGTGAGTATACAAGACGTCATGTGATTTTGTGGATTTAATTTAGTTTCAAAAGGGGAGTTCGCTCTTTTTAAAGGGTCGTTTAAAAAGTGGTTATTGCTGTAAAGTTACCTCAGTGCAAAATTTCAATTTTCGGGTTACCCTGAACAAATCTTAACAAAATAAACAACAATACCAACCTTAACAGTATAAGTTTTAACTGATGGAATGGTCTGAAGACAGTTTCGTTTGTGTGTATGTTGTTTTACGCCGCACTCAGCAATATTCGCGCTACATGCTGGTCTGTAAATAATCCAATTAGGGCCAGAACGTCCAGTGATTAACATTATGAGCACCGATCTACTCAATTGAAAACAATAGCATGAAATCCATCATGACACCGACTCTGATCCACAGCGTCGCCTCTCACAACACGCATGGGTTTGTGAGGACCTATTCTAGCCTGGAATCGACAAGGGAACCCGTCAGGATGGTAGCTACGTACCTGTCGATGTGGGGGCTGTTGTTGGTGAAGGAGCAGCTGGAAAGAGAACAACAAACACATACTATTTGTACAAGACGTCATGTGATTTTGTGATGTTTCAAAAGGCGAGTTCGCTCTTTTTAATAGGTCGTTTATTGCTTTAAAGCTACTTCACTGCAAAATGTCAATTTTTGGGCTACCCTTAACAAATCTTAACAAAACAAACAACACCGCCAACCTTAACAGTATATGTTTGAACTAAAGGAATGGTCTGAAGACAGTTTTGTTTGTTTGCCCAGCTCAATGCTGGTCTGTAAATAATCCAATCTGGGCCAGAAAATCCAGTGATTAACATTATGACCATCGATCCACGTAAGTGAAAACAGAACATGAAATCCACCAAGTCACCGACTTGTGGGTTGTGGAGGACCTATTCTAGCCTGGTATCGACACGGGAACGGTTGAGGGTGGAAGTTACGTACCTGTCGATGGGGGGGCTGTTGTTGGTGAAGGAGCAGCTAGAAAGAGAACAACAGACATGTAATATTTGTACAAGACGTCATGTGATTTTGTGGATACAATTTTGTTCCAAAAGGAAAATTCGCTCTTTCTAATAGGTCGTTAAAAAAGTGGTTATTGCTGTAAAGTAACCTACTACAATGTGTCCTTTTTCGGTTTCCCTTGACATATATTGTTGTTTAGTTATCAGCCAAAGGAAAACAAATGCTAGATGTCCATCGTCAACCTCAACAGTATATATTTGAACTGGAGGAATACTGTGAGGATATCAGTATTAAAATAGATACCTACCGCTCAACTTGGAAACTCCATCGCACGTAAGTGATCTATTGGTGTTGTCACATCTAAACATAACACTGACATTTCCCAAACGATCAGATGAGACGTTGAAGACGTGGTGCTGGACAGTGTCGGTGATGTTGTGCGTGGTCTGGTTCTGCAACAAGACGTCTGTGACGCTGCCTGTAGTTAGATCAAACCCAGCTTGTTGAGAACAGTAGTAGCCTCTCATGTCCACTGTCAGAGTGAGATTTGTACCTGGCTCCAGTACATCAGTGTCTGTATCACTGCTGATGTTGCACTGTGGGGGACCTGGTCGGTAAATCAGGAACATGTCAATGTCACTCTAATTCCGGGTGTTTAAAAGCGAAAAGTTTTACCCAGCAAAAAGCATTAATGCACTTACATGCAAAATTGAAAATATCTAAAGAAATATATTTATTTTTAATTTTCTCAGTGAATAGATACTGATTTGTACTTATAACAACCCTAAATTTATACTCACTTTTTAACAACCTCTTAACTCCACTACAGCTCAGATCACTGCTCATAACGTCACATGCAAACGACACCGTGACGTCACCAAAACGTGAAAGGTCAATATTGATAGTTTTGTTAATGACGTCAGTCTTGACATCACTGACGTTGTGTTTCGTCGACAACGTCTCCATGACAGCCCCAGTGGTAAGATTGAAGCCAGTTTCCTTGGAACAGTAGTAGCCGTTGATATACACTGTGACTGTGAGGTTTGTGCCGAGCTCAAGGGCATCTGTGTCCACATCAGTACTGATGTTACATTCGGGAGTTTCTGTTGACAGGAAATACTCAAAGTGTTGATGATTCCAAAAATGACATTATCAACTTGGCACCAATAAAATTACGTTGGAAACATAACCAGTTCAGGTGTTGGTTGGTTGGTTGGTTGTGAGGGCGATCTGTAAATAATCGAGTCTGTACCAGACAATCCAGTGATTGAAAACATGAGCATCGAACCACGCAATTGGGGGGTGTTGGTATACAGTTATATGTATATATCGTATATATATTTAGTTACAATTTATATATTTGACCGGCTGATAACATATTGGCTGATCAGTTTTACACATTAAAGCAATATTAATTAATGTAACTTGTCTAATGTCCGAATGTCGACGCTAAGAATTGTTTTCGCCTATCCCCTCAGAACATTTTGATAGGGATACCTGCATGTATTGTGACGTTGTCACAATACATACTCATTATGTGATTGCCTAACATTATGTTTTATCCTGATCCGTCGCTATACATAACATGCATAACAAAACGCAAATAGCAGTAGCGGAACAATTTGGAATTGATGCCGAAAAAAAAATAATAATGAACGAGACAAAGGTCAAAAGTTTACTTGAAAAGTAATTGTTGGTTAACCTTTTAAATTCGCATTTGTTGGAAGGCTTATCGATATAATCACCAAGGACCCGTTGATGATGGAATTTAACCATTCTTCTGACAATGTTGACTTCATCGGTGGGGATCACGGGAAATAATATAGGTCCCCAGCAACCTATGCTTGTCGTTAGAGGTGACTAAAAGGATCGCTTGGTCAGTGACTTGGTTGATGTATGTCGTCATCGAGCCTGGCCTCCAGATCAATTTAGTTGCCCCTTCCGACAGTGACACTTACGACCAGCCAAAACATGTTCCTGGGGAACTGTTTTGTTTCCAGGGATCTACATGGTTTTATGGCTAGATGCGATGATCTATAATCTGTCAAAACGTGTTGTGTAAATACTTACTAGCTGCGGTGAGATGACACACGTCTACAGGGATGGCATCCACTACATTTGCATCCACGATCTTCCATGTGCCAGTATCATTCACTCCGACACTGTCTATAGTGAGTGTAGAGAGTGTGTCGTTCGTTGCACTGTATCCAGCCACAGGGCTGCACCTGGGGTTGCAGGTGACGACATACCGGCCGTCAGTTGGTCGTACCCATATAAAGCCTGTATAGCTGCTTCTGTCACCAGCTATGGTGTATTCTGTCTCCAGTGTTGCCACTCCACCTGGACACGGGACTTGTGTAGGGGATACACCTACAGTAGCAGTGAAACACCAACCACTACAAGGCTGATCTACTTCAGAATTTACCACAGTAACTGTAATTAGTTCATGGAGGTAAACACAGGTGCTTATATAGTGTAATTACCTCCTTAAATGCACAATTATATTTTAATAAATTGTTATAAATACATAAGTCAACAATAATAAGTTCACATCAACTGTAGACACCTCAACGAAATCAGTGACATCGTTTTTTATGACATATTTTTAGCCAAACAGGAAACAGCATCCGCTCGTTGGCTTTTCGTACGTTCTGGAGATTCATAAAAACAAGAAGGCAAGCACAGTTGCTTGGTTAAAAAAATATTTTAGATATATGTGTGGAGTAAAAAGCAAATCTAAATCATATGATTATGAAGGTTGATGAAACATACTTAATCGTTACATTAAGTGAAAATAAATTAAATGATATGTATTTAACCTGGCTACTTTTTCAAAAAATAACATGGACATTTAAACTTACTTACCATGGATGAAAGTCACAGTCAGAACCAGTAATACATGTACTTGGTTATGTTTTACCATCATTTTCAACCAACTGGAAAGAGAAATAGAGAGCGAGATTGCTACATTTTTCTCCACTCAGTCAAGATAAAGACATTATTTGTCATATTTAACTTTTGTACATCTACAAACTATTATCATATCACTTTTTAAAGGTTTGTACTTTTATGGGAAGGGACGGTGGCACAGTCGGTAATGCGTTCGCTCGTCACACCGAAGGAGCGGGTTCAATTCCCTCTTGTGCAAAATGTGTGAAGCCCATTTCTCATGTCCCCCGCAGTAGTTTTGTAGTGTCATTGCCAACAGCAGCGTAAAACAATCATCATTCAATACATTATGCAAATAGGTTATGAACAAAAAATATCCTTGTTTGACAGAAACTATAAATATGCACTTACAGTACTTATATTCGGTAAAATGTATGAAAACAATTAAGAACGTACCGATTGTACCACCTGCTATCGTAGAAATATCTGAAGTAAATATCGAAAAATATGAGAAGCAAATCATTTCAGAAATATGAACATTGACCTGTAAAATATTTCCCAAAATATTTCCATGCAGCAATAATTGTATTCAAAAGGAAACTACCTTTATAATGAACATGCTTACAATGAACTGATGGATATAACGAACTTATTTTTGGTCCTGTACATTTGCTATATATGTGCGTAACAAACTACGGTTATAACAAACTAAAATAAGTGGTCCCTTTGAATTCGTTATAACCGTAGTTTACTGTACATGAGCAATCATGACATAACAGCTTCAGTAAGGTTACATAGTACAAGAACGGACATTTAACATTTACCAGCCAGATCCTTGAGTTATAATGTCCATTATCGTGAAACCTTGTGCACAGAACAAGTATGAAAGAATCTTTTCATTCTTGGTGAGATCCATGTTGAGTTAATTTTAGCATTGCGTCAGCTTTGGAAGTCATAAATAAATTGTACAAATTTATGGTGTTTAATCCCAGTTTATTGCGTCAGCCGGCATGTGGATACGTGACTCCACTGAACTTTTCCCCAAGAATCCGTTTGAGTGAACAACCTGTTTCACTCGCCTGGTCATTGATATAAATGGCAGATTAATGTAATCGATCAAATATCGGACCCTTGCCAGGGACATTCGGATGCCTTGGAGTCATGTTATAACATACAACACAGAGTCATGTTGTCGCCACTTCATTATTCGACACTAGTGTTCGGAAAAAAACGATTTACAGGTTTATATATATACAGGGTCACAGGGTCGCCACTTCATTGTTCAAATCTAATGTTCGCCTAACTATTTACGGGTTTAGATATATATTTCATATTATGGGAAGGTTTCTCGGCTGGATACTCTACCCCTTGGGCTAACGTGAGGAAAAATAGGCAAATATGAAAGGTCACTTCTTTCAATGGCACCTCTTTCAGTGTTTTTAAATAAACATGGCGTCGCCTTTTTCCATCGCAAATCGAGTCACAATTAACCATCATGCAAATTATTGAAATAATAAGTATTACTGTTAATGTTGATATTGATTGATATTAGTATCAGTGTCCATGAAAGACATTCTACAAGTTCAGGGAACTTTGGAAACATAAAATGCCAGGCTATGTTAGCGATGACGCTTGCAGCACAAGGATTGGTGAGGCACAAATTGGCTGCTACAACACACAGATCATTTTACCATCAAACTCGTTGAAATAATGATGACGGGAGGCTGACAGGTGTCACCGTTTTTGCGTATTTTGACCCGAGTTTGTATTACTATCCAAAAAACATAATCGGTTATATACCGACCACAAAAGAAACGCCACCCCAAGTAGCATTGCATTAAAATTTATCGTTTAAATATCTGGCTATTCTTTTTGTCAGAGTTTCTAAACAAAATAACATGACCTTGTCCGGAAAAAATTGATGATAAAAAAACAAAGCAGATAACAATAAATCTGATCACACGAACGCATCACGGCAACGGCCATGGTTACCCGATGCACGTGACTTCCCTGCAAATTGAAACGCACATGCGTTCCCCCATTTCTTGCCCTATAAAAATCCACCCAGATCGGAAAACATTTATTCATTATTGAATTGCTACCACATGACAAGATTGACATGAAATCAGCGACACCAAGCCCTCGGACGATTGCAAGGTGGACAAACCGCCCAGCAAGTAGCCAATGCATTTTAAGTCCACGTAAGGACCATATACAGGCTGCAGCAACGGCACAAGACCACCAACACCACAGATTGCCGACCACGTAGTGGAAGACCAAGGGTGACCACCCGACGTCAGGGTCGTCAGATTGTGCGGCAGCATCTTCAAGATCGCTCTGTTACTGCTGCGGAAACTGCTTGACAGACCATGGGGACAAACCAACGACACATTAGTGCAGACACGGTGCGTCGACGATTGACGAGCAGACACCTCCTCAGGTCACACCAAGGACCCATTCTGACACCACGTCATCGCCAAGACCGTCTTCAGTGGGCAACACAGCACCAGCATTGGCACCACCAGCAGTGGAGAAGAGTCCTCTTCTCAGACGAGAGCCGTCACTGTATCTCAACAGCAGATGGCAGAGGGACTCTGGTGACGCCGTGGGGAACGTTATTCGGATGCTTATGTTGTTGAGAGAGACTCGTGGGGTGGTCCGAGCATCATGTTGTTGGGTGGAATTGGTCTTGCACAGAGGGTCTGACCTGTTGTCTTCCACAACATCATTCCAGGGAGACAGCAGCTTGGTACATTGATCAAGTCAAGTCAGGTATCTCTATACCTGTTCTTCATACCTTTTCTTTTGGTCTCCACTCCATACCCGTTCTTCATACCCGTTTTCTTCACCAATTCTCCACGCCCATTCTCCATACCTGTTCTCCATACCTGCCTGTTCTAAATACCTGTTCTCCATACCTGTTCTCTATACCCGTTCTCCTTACCTGTTCTCCATACCTGTTCTCCATACCTGTTCTCCATATCTGTTCTCTATACCCATTTTCCATACCTGCTTTCCATACCCGTTCTCCATACCTGTTCACCATACCCGTTCTCCATACCCGTTCACCAGAACCCGTTCTCCATACCCGTTCTCCATCCCCGTTCTCTATACCTGTTCTCTATACCTGTTCTCTATACCCGTTCTCCATACGTGTTCTCTAAACCAGTTCTCCATACCTGTTCTCCATACCTGCTCTCCATACCTGTTCTCAATACCTGTTCTCCATACCAGTTCTCTATACCTGTTCTCTATACCCGTTCTCCATACCCGTTCTCAATACCTGTTCTCTAAACCAGTTCTCTATACCTGTTCTCCATATCCGTTCTTTATACCTATTCTCCATACCTGTTCTCCATAAATGTTCTCTATACCTGTTCCCTATACCAGTTCTCTAAACCAGTTCTCCATACCTGTTCTCCATATCTGTTCTCTATACCTGTTCTCTATACATGTTCGCCATACCTGTTCTCCATACCAGTTCTCCATACCTGTTCTCCATACCTGTTCTCCATACCTGTTCTCAATACAAGTTCTCCATACCTGTTCTCAATACCTGCTGTCCATACCTGTTCTCCATACCCGTTCTCCATACCCGTTCTCTATACCTGTTCTCTATACCCGTTCTCCATACCCGTTCTCCATACCTGTTCTCTAAACCAGTTCTCCATACCTGTTCTCCATATCTGTTCTCTATACCTGTTCTCTATACATGTTCTCCATACCTGTTCTCCATACCAGTTCTCCATACCTGTTCTCCATACCTGTTCTCCATACCTGTTCTCCATACCAGTTCTCTGTACCTGTTCTCTATACCCGTTCTTCATACCCGTTCTCGGTACCTGTTCTCTAAACCAGTTCTCTATACCTGTTCTCCATATCCGTTCTTTATACCTATTCTCCATACCTGTTCTCCGTACATGTTCTCTATACCTGTTCCCTATACATGTTCTCCATACCTGTTCCCCGTACCAGTTCTCCATACATGTTCTCCATACATGTTCTCTATACCTGTTCCCTATACCTGTTCTCTATACCTATTCCCTATACCTATTCCCTATACCCGTTCTCTATACCTGTTCTCTATACCTATTCCCTATACCCGTTCTCTATACCTGTTCTCTATACCTGTTATCTATACATGTTCCATATACCCGTTCTCTATACCTGTTCTCTATAGCTGTTCCCTATACCCGTTCTCTATACCTGTTCTCTATACATGTTACCTATACCCGTTCTCTATACCTGTTCTCTATAGCTGTTCCCTATACCCGTTCTCTATACATGTTCTCTATACCTGTTACCTATACCCGTTCTCTATACCTGTTTTCTATACCTATTCCCTATACCCGTTCTCTATACCTGTTCTCTATACCTGTTATCTATACATGTTCCATATACCCGTTCTCTATACCTGTTCTCTACAGCTGTTCCCTATACCCGTTCTCTATACCTGTTCTCCATACCTGTTCTCCATACCCGTTCTCTATACCTGTTCTCTATACCTGTTCTCCATACCCGTTTTCCATACCTGTTCTCTAAACCAGTTCTCCATACCTGTTCTCCATACCTGTTCTCTATACCCGTTCTCCATACCCGTTCTCCATACCTGTTCTCTAAACCAGTTCTCCATACCTGTTCTCCATATCTGTTCTCTATACCTGTTCTCCATACATGTTCTCTACACCTGTTCTCCATACCAGTTCTCCATACCTGTTCTCCATACCTGATCTCAATACCTGTTTCCTATACCCGTTCTCTATACCTGTTCTCTATACCTGTTCTCTATACATGTTCCCTATACCCGTTCTCTATACATGTTCTCTATACACGTTCCCCATACCCGTTCTCTACACCTGTTCTCCATACCTGTTCTCCATACCAGTTCTCCATACCTGTTCTCCATACCAGTTCTCTATACCTGTTCTCTATACCTGTTCTCTATACCTGTTACCTATACCCGTTCTCTATACCTGTTACCTATACCTGTTACCTATACCCGTTCTCTATACCTGTTCTCCATACCCGTTCTCTATACCTGTTCTCTATACCTGTTACCTATACCCGTTCTCACTACCTGTTCTCTATACCTATTCCCTATACCCGTTCTCTATACCAGTTCTCCATACCAGTTCTCCATACCTGTCTCCATACATGTTCTCTATACCTGTTACCTATACCCGTTCTCTCTACCTGTTCTCTATACCTGTTCCCTATACCTGTTCTCTATACATGTTCTCCATACCTGTTCTCCATACCTGTTCTCCATACCTGTTCTCCATGCCTGTTCTCCATACCTGTTCTCCATACCTGTTCTCCATACCCGTTCTCCATACATGTTCTCCATACCCGTTCTCTATACCTGTTCTCTATACATGTTCTCCATACCTGTTCTCTATACGTGTTCTCCATACATGTTCTCTATACCTGTTCTCTTTACATGTTCTCCATACCTGTTCTCTATACATGTTCTCCATACCTGTTATCTATGAATGTTCTCCATACCTGTTCTCCAAACCTGTTCTCCATACCTGTTCTCTATATACGTGTTCTCCATACATGTTCTCTTTACCTGTTCTCTATACCTGTTCTCTAAACCTGTTCTCTATACGTGTTCTTCATACTTCTTCTCTATAACCGTTCTTGATGCCTGTTCTCCACGCCCGTTCTCCATCCGAGTATTCCATACCCGTTCTCTATACCCATTCTCCATACCCATTTTTCATACTGTTCTCTCTATAACTGTTCTCAATACATGTTCTTTTTACCTTTTCTCTTAACCAGTTCTTCATATCAGTTCTTTATGCCTCTACTCCATACCTGTTCTCCATACCCGTTCTCCATCCGAGTTATCCATACCTGTTCTCTATACGTGTTCTCTATACCCATTCTTCATACCTCCATTACTTCTCTATAACCGTTCTTAATACCAGTTCTTCATGCCTCTACTCCATACCTGTTCTCTATACCCGTTTTTCATACCTTTTCTCCATACCCGTTCTTTATACCTCTTCTCTGTACCCATTCTTCATACTTCTTCTCCATACCTGTTCTCCATACCTGATCTCTTTAGCCATTCTCCATCTGAGTTATCAATACCTGTTCTCTATTCGTGTTATCTATGCCCGTTCTCCATACCAATTCTCCATACATGTTCTCCATACTTCTTATCCATCCCCGTTTTCCATAGCCTTTCTCGATACCTGTTCTCCATACTCGTTCTCCCTACCGCTTCTCCATACCTGATACACGTGTGGCCCAGGCGTCTATGTTGCCCCATATTTCCTGTTCGACTCCTTAAATTTCCCTCATTGTGCCACTTGTTTTTTCAATGTTTATTCGTCTGCCAACCAAACAATTATATTCTTAGTTCTAGTGTCCTCTAGTTTCTCCTTTAGATCAATTTAAATTCAATCGGTTTGCTATATCTAAGGTGATGTGTGGTGAGGTTAAATGGGTTTGATGTCGATTTAAGATCGACGTTTACGAACGTGAGTGCGCGTGTTTGTGTGGGTGGCTGCTTTTTGTAGTCTGTACTGATGCCAGAAGAATACTAGTGATACCCAAAGAACATACCATGCCGAAATGTTACATACGCACAACACTCAGACACAGTATATTGACTTCAAGCTCGACTTGTCATTGTTTTATTTCCGAAGTGACGAAATGACAGTGGCATCTAAAGATGTCAAATACCAATGTATGCGGTATCAATTTAATCTTGCGTGTTCAACAAAGCGCTGTCGCTATGGCCGCCATACATACCAGGGCCCACTTGCACAAAGCGATCTTAGTGCTAAGACTATTGAAAGCCTATGCTAAAGTATGGGAGTTAAGATCATCTTAGCGCTAAGGTCGCTTTGTGCAAGTGGGCCCAGATCGCATGACAAGACTACAACTCTTGAACATAACGAACTCTCGTAAAAAGACTTGGACTGTTTTATGTCAACAGCCAGGCAACATGATTGTCTTACAGCTTGCCATCAGTCGACATTAATTAAGGATAGCACGTCAGTGAGGCACCTGCTTGGGTCACTGTGACCGCACTAATGCATATTATACAGCGAACAGTGTAACGAGACGTTTTTCACTTCCACACTGCTAAATTGTTATCTTGGATTTTGCTCAAGACACGTGACAGCTACGATCATATGCGGATACGGTGGGGTGTGAGGTGAGAAGGTGGTATCCGTACCCATATGTGTTCACACGTCACAACGTAGAGTGGGAGACTATGGACTTGACAGCTTGCAGTAGCATTCCAGGAGTGTCACAGCGCTGACCACTTGAAACTGTACCCTTGCGGGCAGTAGGACGTCAGATTGAGATCAAGGGAGAGGACACAGAGAGTCTGAGAGAAATATAGACGTGGATGAACGAGAGAGATTTAGACATTGAGGCGAGACAGGGAGTGATTGACACAGGGGGTAGATTGACTGAGTGGCTATGGCCTAGCAAAGGCATAGTATGGTATTCCTGCAATATCGTGGCCTCGTCAATACAGCCTCTAAGGGGTATCGTGAACAATACGGCTCATTGAATGCTGGACATATAATAAACCACGTGCACAATACCGCAAATTCACAACGCTGCATAATTAGTGACGGGTGCGGAATAACATGTATTCTGTACCGTGGCTTTGAATTCACATTGTGCTTTATTTGTGTGCCACTGCTCTGATGTTTGACACGTAGTTTTAGATTGTTAAAAACTCATAACGATTCTTCCTTCCCTGACTCAAACAAAATAAACGGCTCCCATCACTTTTACCACATCCGCCACAAGTAGTCCCCACCTCCCTCCCAGGCCCCTAATCCCGACCGCGTGAACTAAGAAAACATTACGCTCTAACCGTGGACCTTAACTAAGCCGTAAATCCTGATTGTAGTCAGTTGTGTGTGTAACAGATAAGTGTTAGTCATATGGCTACTATCATTGATTTGATATGTACTGTGGGACCCTATTCCTGAGGAATTGCGATGTAAAAGCGTCTGCACTGCGGGGATTAACAGAGAAATTCAGGTCATGGATAGCGTATGGGTTACCTGTGCATTGAGGTTAGACGTCGGGAGTTGGGAAATGATAAGGTTAGGGGATAGAGTTAGGAGTAGGTGTAGGGGTATGGATGGTTATTAGGTTAGCGGTTATAGTAGAAGCTAGGGTAGGGCATGGGTATGTGTAGGGTGGAGGTATAGGTAGGTGTAAGGTAAGAGTAGGGTTTAGGATTGGATAGGGTAGAGGTAACGTAATAGGTAGGGGTAGGATTAGGGTTAAAGTAGGATAATGATAGGTGTAGGTAGAGTTAAGGGTAAGGGTAATGTTAGATAGGGGTGGAGAATGGGGAGTAGGGGTAAGGGTAAGGATAGGGATAGGGTAGGGTGGGGGTAAGGAGTAGGTATAATCGTAAGGGTGGGGAAACGAAAACGGTAAGCGTAGATTCGGGTAGGAGTAGCGGTAAGGGTAGAGGTCGGGAGTAGGGGTGAGGGTAGGATAGAGGTAGGGTAGGGGTGGTGATATGGAGTGGGTATAATCGTAGGGGTGGTGAAATGAAAACGATAAGCGCAGAGTAGGGTAGGGGTAACTGTAACAGTAGAGGACAGGAGTAGGGGTGAGGGTAGGGGTAACGGCAAGAGTAGAGGTCAGGGGTAGGGGTGAGGGTAGGGGTAGGGATAAGGAGTTGGTAGTAGGGGTAGGGTAGAGGTAAAGGTAAGGGTATTGTAGAGCAGGGTTAAGGTTTGGGTTTGAGTATGGGTAGTGGTTAGTGTAGAGATTAGGGTATGTACATGGGGAGGGGGTAGGGTAAGTGTTAGGGTAAGGGTGAAGGTTTGGGTAAGGGTATGGGTGGGGTTAGCTTTGAGGCTAGGGTGTCGGTACAGGTAGGGTAGAGTAGTCAAGGAGAGATATTGGTTTCGGTACGGGTTATGGTAAAGTTGGGGAGGGTTCAGGTTGGGGATGGCGGTAGGGCTGGGGAGGGTTAAGGGTGGTTGTAGTGGAAGGGTTTCTGGAAAGTTTGGTGTTAGGGTTAAGGCAGAGGCTTGGGTTAGGGGCTCAATGCCGTACTATTGTGATACCTCAGTTTGCTGGATATTCCACGACACCTGTTGATTCTTCACTCAATTTTCAGGGCGGTCGAGTAGCCTATTTGTTAAAGCCGAAGTCCATGTTTGATTCCCGGCATGGGTACAATGTGTGAAGCCCATTTCTGGTGTCCCCCGCCGTGATATTGCTGAAATATTGCTAAAAAGCGGTGTAAAACCATACTCACTCAGTCACTCATTCAATGTTCTACTGTCTGTCGATCTACCTTATGCCCACGTGTGCGTACCACAACACAGTTTCACATTAATAGAACTGTTGTGACGTGTGCAAAGTCTCCTGCTCGAACGTTAACGTCACATCGAATACATCAATGTACAAATGAAGTCATATCTGAGACGCCATCTAAATACGCTATTTGGGAACGATGATCAACAATGAGGACACCCGCTTCTTACCTTGGTTGTATTTTACTGAGCAATGAGGTGATGCAACATATTATAATTTGTCAGTAGATAATAGTACGAAATATATATATATACCTATGTCTTCTTTCTCCATTATATATATATATATGTATATATATATATATAATATGTTTATATGTGTCATATGTCACAAAGTTAGAATGCACTTTGACGTCATGCTATGTTAGAGTGACGTCAAAACAGTGTGACGGTATAACTGTACTCTTGAAAATCACATTCGAGAAGCGGGGGGGGGGGGGAATTATACTGCTCATCTTTGGACTTGTGTATTTTATCTACATATATATATATATACATATATATATAAATAGAGAGAGAGGGAGAGAGAGAGAGACATACACACACACACACACACACACACACACACACTGACACACACAAACACAGATACATATGTGTATATCATCTTATATATGAGTGGTTACAGAGGCTGTAAATATAACAATGACAATCTCACGAGAAGCACTGATGAAGATAAAGGAACTGAACACGGACATTCTTGTGTACCTACATCCCTAGTAACTGTAAACTTATGTCCGTTATAAAAGCCAATCTTCCAATTTACAGCCAAGTAAATGACAAAATGTCTCAAATACGTAAAATTATACCAGCACAAGAGAGCCCAACAATCTCAAACAAATCCTTTGTCCATCAAAATAACAAGATACAAACACCGTAAGGGTAACACAATGTCACACAACACGATGTGGAACCTGCCCAATAATAATTTAAGACTGCAAGTATACAATTTTGAGAAATATACTCTTACTGTCAAAAAACAACATACATGGTACACAGACAGCAAATTCAGGATCCAATTGTCCGTTGTATAAATGTAAGCAAATATTTTAATGAATGCTGGCGCGATCAGTTTACTGTCTTTCCGTGTTATAGATTGTTTAACAATGACAAACATTTACAATGGAAAAAGAACAGGCTTTAGCAATACAACTCGGTGCGTAAAATGTTCAACGAGAGCCTATTTGGCATTTTTCACATGCATAAGTATTGACCGCAACCATAATTGTAACTTAAAAATATCTCCTCACCAAATAACACCAGATGGAAGCGTGGACCCAATTCACATCCACACCAACTTGTCCATCCAACACCCCAGTCCCATACCCGCTCCCACGCCAACTTGTCCATCCAACACCCAGTCCAATACCCGCTCCCACGCCAACTTGTCCATCCAACACCCAGTCCTATACCCGCTCCCCCGCCAACTTGTCCATCCAACACCCCAGTCCTATACCCGCTCCCACGCCAACTTGTCCATCCAACACCCCAGTCCCATACCCCCTCCCACGCCAACTTGTCCATCCAACACCCAGTCCAATACCCGCTTCCACGCCAACTTGTCCATCCAACACCCAGTCCTATACCCGCTCCCACGCCAACTTGTCCATCCAACACCCAGTCCAATACCCGCTCCCACGCCAACTTGTCCATCCAACACCCAGTCCAATACCCGCTCCCACGCCAACTTGTCCATCCAACACCCAGTCCAATACCCGCTCCCACGCCAACTTGTCCATCCAACACCCAGTCCTATACCCGCTCCCACGCCAACTTGTCCATCCAACACCCCAGTCCCATACCCGCTCCCACGCCAACTTGTCCATCCAACACCCCAGTCCTATACCCGCTCCCACGCCAACTTGTCCATCCAACACCCAGTCCAATACCCGCTCCCACGCCAACTTGTCCATCCAACACCCAGTCCTATACCCGCTCCCACGCCAACTTGTCCATCCAACACCCCAGTCCTATACCCGCTCCCACGCCAACTTGTCCATCCAACACCCCAGTCCCATACCCGCTCCCACGCCAACTTGTCCATCTAACACCCCAGTCCTATACCCGCTCCCACGCCAACTTGTCCATCCACCTCCCCAGTCCTATACCCGCTCCCACGCCAACTTGACATCCAACACCCCAGTCCCATACCCGCTCCCACGCCAACTTGTCCATCCAACGCCCCAGTCCCATACCCGCTCCCACGCCAACTTGTCCATCCAACGCCCCAGTCCTATACCCGCTCCCACGCCAACTTGTCCATCTGACACCCCAGTCCTATACCTGCTCCCACGCCAACTTGTCCATCCAACAGCCCAGTCCCATACCCGCTACCCCGCCAACTTGACATACAACACCCCAGTCCTATACCCGCTACCACGCCAACTTGACATACAACACCCCAGTCCTATACCCGCTCCCACGCCAACTTGACATACAACACCCCAGTCCTATACCCGCTACCACGCCAACTTGACATACAACACCCAAGTCCTATACCCGCTACCACGCCAACTTGACATACAACACCCCAGTCCCATACCCGCTCCCACGCCAACTTGACATACAACACCCCAGTCCTATACCCGCTCCCACGCCAACTTGTCCATCCAACAGCCCAGTCCCATACCCGCTCCCACGCCAACTTGTCCATCCAACACCCCAGTCCCATACCCGCTCCCACGCCAACTTGTCCATCCAACACCCCAGTCCCATACCCGCCCCCACTCCAACATCCACATCTGACTCAACATACCTACATACACACACCCTACACCTTCCTCACCAAAACAGTAAACATATAGTATCACTCATCCTCACCCACACACCCTACACCTTCCTCACGAAAACAGTAAACATATAGTATCAATCATCCTTACCCACACATCCTCACCCTTCCTCACCAACCATTATTAAGATCAGGGTATCAATAAATATATATATATATATATATATATATATATATATATATATATATATATATATATATATATAATTGTTTCAGTCGACATCAATGCATCACATAAATAACACTTGAAAGCTTCATGTAATCCACAATGCCACACTAGATCATGGCATAACCATTCAAGACAACGGAATGCACGAACACCCACCATGATGTATGATGTTATAGAATATACAACATAACTGACCCTTTCATTTCAGTACAAGTCATAACATAATGATACACATATACTTACAAGTATCAGATAGAAAAGCGTTGACGTAATAGTAATGGCGGTAAATGCGCCTCGTGGACCGTCATGCATTGTGCAAGCTACCTCACAAACCACCCGTCTGTCAACTTACACAATACAGCCTTCGTACATATTTGTATTCAGTATGATAGATAGGTGCACAATAGATCATGTACATAATTGCAAGCGTCTCACCTTTTTGACTGATGTAGTGAACCAAACTATACTTTTCAAAGTGTAGTCCCAAGCACTGCCAAGTAATCCCGTTAAGATCAATCCACCATGTTGGCTTTTTCTTGTCATGTGCGTGACATCGATATGTGTATTGGCATGTTGAACATGGCAACTGCAACTTGGGGGCCAGTGTAGCACGGTCGTGAGAGGCGTCGCTGTTCGCTCTTCAGCACTGTGTCCGTTAGGCGCACTAGAGATCTAAAACTCTGGGTTCGAATCTGCCATAGTCACCCTGACCATGTTTCTAGGTTTGTCAGCACTGTGCTCGTGTTTATATGGTACAGAACATTTATATTGTAATATTCTGTGATAAGATCTTTCAATCTTTCAAGAATGTAGGCGGGTTGTAACAGTTTATAGCAGATGGTCATGATTATATCTAGTCGCATACGTTTGACTCCATCACCATACTGGAGTGTTTTCCTGAAATTGCTGACATCGAACACACTGGTGTGCGTGTAGAGGTTGATTGAAGAAGGGTTACGGGTTGCGGGTGGGTGTGGAAGCGTGTGGGTGGTGGGTGTGGGTGTGGGTGTGGGTGTGGGTGTGGGTGTGGTGGGTGTTGGTGTGGGTGTTGGTGTGGGTGTGGGTGTGGTGGTGGTTGGTTGGTGGTGGTTGGTTGGTGGTGGGTGGTGGGTGATGGGTGTGGGTGGTTGGTGATGGGTGGTGGGTGTGGGTGTGGGTGTGGGTGTGGTGTGTGTTGGTGTGGGTGTGGGTGTGGGTGTGGGTGTGGGTGTGGTGGTGGTTGGTTGTTGGTTGTTGGTTGGTGGTGGGTGGTGGGTGGTGGGTGATGGGTGGTGGGTGTGGGTGGTGGGTGATGGGTGGTGGGTGTGGGTGTGGATGTGGGTGTTGGTGTGGGTGTGGGTGTGGGTGGTGGTTGGTTGGTGGTGGTTGGTTGGTGGTGGGTGGTGGGTGTGGGTGGTGGGTGATGGGTGGTGGGTGGTGGGTGGTGGGTGGTTGGTGTTGGTGTGGGTGTGGGTGTGGGTGTGGGTGTGGGTGTGGGTGTGGTGGGTGTTGGTGTGGGTGTTGGTGTGGGTGTTGGTGTGGGTGTGGGTGGTGGTTGGTGGGTGTTGGTGTGGACAGGTGTGGATGGGTGTGGGTGTGGGTGTGGGTGTGGGTGTGGGTGTGGTGGGTGTTGGTGTGGGTGTTGGTGTGGGTGTGGGTGTGGGTGTGGGTGTGGGTGTGGGTGTGGGTGTGGTGGTGGTTGGTTGGTGATGGTTGGTTTGTGGTGGGTGGTGGGTGATGGTTGTGGGTGGTTTGGTGATGGGTGGTGGGTATGGGTGTGGGTGTGGGTGTGGGTGTGGGTGTGGTGGGTGTTGGTGTGGGTGTTGGTGTGGGTGTGTGTGTGGGTGTGGTGGTGGTTGGTTGTTGGTTGTTGGTTGGTGGTGGGTGGTGGGTGATGGGTGGTGGGTGTGGGTGGTGGGTGATGGGTGGTGGGTGTGGGTGTGGATGTGGGTGTTGGTGTGGGTGTGGGTGTGGGTGGTGGTTGGTTGGTGGTGGTTGGTTGGTGGTGGTTGGTTGGTGGTGGGTGGTGGGTGTGGGTGGTGGGTGATGGGTGGTGGGTGGTGGGTGGTGGGTGGTTGGTGTTGGTGTGGGTGTGGGTGTGGGTGTGGGTGTGGGTGTGGGTGTGGGTGTGGTGGGTGTTGGTGTGGGTGTTGGTGTGGGTGTTGGTGTGGGTGTGGGTGGTGGTTGGTGGGTGTTGGTGTGGACAGGTGTGGATGGGTGTGGGTGTGGGTGTGGGTGTGGGTGTGGTGGGTGTTGGTGTGGGTGTTGGTGTGGGTGTGGGTGTGGGTGTGGTGGTGGTTGGTTGGTGATGGTTGGTTTGTGGTGGGTGGTGGGTGATGGGTGTGGGTGGTGGGTGATGGGTGTTGGTGTGGGTGTTGGTGTGGGTGTGGGTGTTGGTGTGGGTGTGGGTGGTGGTTGGTGGGTGTTGGTGTGGACAGGTGTGGATGGGTGTGGGTGTGGGTGTGGGTGTGGGTGTGGTGGGTGTTGGTGTGGGTGTTGGTGTGGGTGTGGGTGTGGGTGTGGTGGTGGTTGGTTGGTGATGGTTGGTTTGTGGTGGGTGGTGGGTGATGGGTGTGGGTGGTGGGTGATGGGTGGTGGGTGTGGGTGTGGGTGTGGGTGTGGGTGTGGTGGGTGTTGGTGTGGGTGTTGGTGTGGGTGTGTGTGTGGGTGTGGTGGTGGTTGGTTGGTGGTGGTTGGTTGGTGGTGGGTGGTGGGTGATGGGTGTGGGTGGTTGGTGATGGGTGATGGGTGGTGGGTGTGGGTGTGGGTGTGGGTGTGGGTGTGGGTGTGGGTGTGGGTGTGGGTGTGGTGGGTGTTGGTGTGGGTGTGTGTGTGGGTGTGGGTGTGGGTGTGGTGGTGGTTGGTTGGTGGTTGTTGGTTGGTGGTGGGTGGTGGGTGATGGGTGGTGGGTGTGGGTGGTGGGTGATGGGTGGTGGGTGTGGGTGTGGGTGTGGCAGTTGGTGTGGGTGTGGGTGTGGGTGGTGGTTGGTTGGTGGTGGTTGGTTGGTGGTGGTTGGTTGGTGGTGGGTGGTGGGTGTGGGTGGTGGGTGATGGGTGGTGGGTGGTGGGTGATGGGTGGTGGGTGGTGGGTGGTTGGTGTTGGTGTGGGTGTGGGTGTGGGTGTGGGTGTGGGTGTGGGTGTGGGTGTGGGTGTGGTGGGTGTTGGTGTGGGTGTTGGTGTGGGTGTTGGTGTGGGTGTGGGTGGTGGTTGGTGGGTGTTGGTGTGGACAGGTGTGGATGGGTGTTGGTGTTGGTGTTGGTGTGGGTGTGGGTCTGGTTGGTGGTTGGTGGGTGTGGGTGAAGTGTGGATGGTTGGTGGTGTATGTGAGGGTGTGGGTGAGGATGGGTGTGAGTGTGGGGGTGGCTGTGGGTGTGTGGGTATGGGTGTGGGTGTGTGTGGGTGTAGGTCGGTATGAGGGTGTGGGTCGGGATGAGGGTGTGTTGGTGTGGGTGTGGATAGGTGTAGATTGGTGTGGATGGGTGTAGGTTTGTGTGTGGATGTGGATGGGTGTGTGAGTGTGGGTGTTGGTGTGTGGGTGTTGGCGCGGATTGATGTGGGTGTGTGTGTTGGTGTTGGTGTGGATGGGTGTGGATGGGTGTGGGTGTTGGTGTTGGTGTGGATGGGTGTGGATGTGGGTGTTGGTGTGGATGGGTGTGGGTTTGGGTGTAAGTGTGGTCCTGGGTGTGGGTGTGGGTGTAGGCGTTGGTGTGGGTGTGGGGATGGGCGTGAGCGTGGACGTGGGTGTTGGTGTTGGTGTTGGTGTGGGTGTATGGGTGTGGATGTGGGTGTGGCTCTGGCTGTAGCTGTGGCTGTGGCTGTGGGTATGGATGTTGGTGTGGGTGTGGGTGTCTGGGTGCGGGTATGGGCGTGGGTGTGGGTGTGGGTGTCTGGGTGTGGGTGTGGGTGTCTGTGTGTGGGTGTGTGGGTGTGGGTGTGGGTGTGGGTGTGGGTGTGGGTGTGGGTTTTGGTGTCGGTGTGGGTGTCTGGGTGTGGGTGTGGGTGTGGATGTTGATGTTGATGTTGGTGTGGGTGTTGGTGTGGATGGGTGTGGATGGGCATGGGTGAGGGAGTGGGTGTGGAGGTGGGTGTGGGTGTGGGTATGGGTTTGGGTGTGGGTGAGGGTGAGGGTGTGGGTGTTGGGTGTGGGTGTGGAGGTGGGTGTGGGTGTGGGTGTGGGTGTGGGTGTGGGTGTGGGTGCGGGTGTCTGGGTGTGGGTGTGGGTGTGGGTGTGGGTGTGGTGGGTGTTGGTGTGGGTGTTGGTGTGGGTGTGTGTGTGGGTGTGGTGGTGGTTGGTTGGTGGTGGTTGGTTGGTGGTGGGTGGTGGGTGATGGGTGTGGGTGGTTGGTGATGGGTGGTGGGTGTGGGTGTGGGTGTGGGTGTGGGTGTGGGTGTGGTGGGTGTTGGTGTGGGTGTGGGTGTGGGTGTGGGTGTGGGTGTGGTGGTGGTTGGTTGGTGGTTGTTGGTTGGTGGTGGGTGGTGGGTGATGGGTGGTGGGTGTGGGTGGTGGGTGATGGGTGGTGGGTGTGGGTGTGGGTGTGGCAGTTGGTGTGGGTGTGGGTGTGGGTGGTGGTTGGTTGGTGGTGGTTGGTTGGTGGTGGTTGGTTGGTGGTGGGTGGTGGGTGTGGGTGGTGGGTGATGGGTGGTGGGTGGTGGGTGATGGGTGGTGGGTGGTGGGTGGTTGGTGTTGGTGTGGGTGTGGGTGTGGGTGTGGGTGTGGGTGTGGGTGTGGTGGGTGTTGGTGTGGGTGTTGGTGTGGGTGTTGGTGTGGGTGTGGGTGGTGGTTGGAGGGTGTTGGTGTGGACAGGTGTGGATGGGTGTTGGTGTTGGTGTTGGTGTGGGTGTGGGTCTGGTTGGTGGTTGGTGGGTGTGGTTGAAGGTGTGGATGGTTGGTGTTGTATGTGAGGGTGTTGGTGTGGGTGTGGGTGTGGGTGTGGGTGTGGGTGTGGGTGTGGGTGTCATGGTGTGGGTGTGTGTGTGGGTGTTGGTGTGGGTGTGGGTGTGGGTGTGGGTGTCGCCAAGGCTCGCTTAATACAATGTTCATTCCTAATGCAGAATATTTACCATCCCCAAACACACTCACGTGATAACCTCTATTGACACCAAGAAATCATCTTATTTCATCATTGGCCCCTCTCGGTAATTTGGGAGGTTATCAAATGATAATGATAAATTTATTATTTCATTCATGTTAAACGAGCCTGTAGATAATCGAATCAATCCAGTGATTGATATCAATATCCACGTCGGGGTACGATGCCACCCAATGAACCTAGTTACCAAATCTGATCGACCAATCCATCTTGTACGATAAAACTTGGTTTCCGAGGGTCCAATGTTGGGACCACCACAGGAGCTGCTATGCCTTGTGCTGCGGCATCCTTATAAAGCCCTAAGCTATATATTTAATTTACGTTATCAACTGCTATATCCACAGTTGACATATCAATAACTTTCAAGGCATACAGCGGCTTGTGATAATCTTTAGTAATCTCGCCTACCCACATGTGCAGTGATGCTATCTCTATACTATATTATGTGTACAATTATTAGTCCATCTTATGTCTTCGCTTATAGGGAAACAAATTTTAACTTTAATATTTAATATATGTTGGCCGCAAAGAGACCCTTGGAACCTTGTTACACATCCAATTTCACCTCACATCGCCTGTGATTATAAGGCCACACACCGCTAGACCTCACCGAATTAGATATTATAAGATCAATACGAATGTTAACAAATCATATGTTATGAACGCAAGGCATGTAATGTGTGAACTGCTATAAATAATCTCGATACCACTTAAGCACATTGAGACATGAGACTTCCTTTATATACAATGTACATGTATCAAGTACACATGCTTGACTTACTCAAGCTATGACGCTGTGTCTAGATATAATATCAAGTATCCTGGGGATTTTCTATCCACTACAGACAGGTGGATTCCCGAGGAGAAACGAGCCTGTCACAGCTTTGGGACTTCTCGGGAATTCAACGTCCGGGTTCGCACAATGGATCAACTGTCACCAACCCGTTTAGCTCTTCTTGTTGGCTTTTAAGGCCTGATATTATATCGCCTTACATGGGTTCACCGTAGCTCTGCACGCACTGCTGTTTTTTGGTGATTAAAGCAAGTGGGAACTTGTCGATTGAATTATGTAGTCCAGAGCAGAAACCTCGTTGTGTATTATCAGTGGTAAAGTGTGTCTAGGCTCAATAATATAATGTTTGCGTGACGTGGGTTTGAAGTCGCTTTCAACAGCGATTCATGTATACCACGGCGCGCCAGCTTAACGTGGGAGGAAAGCCCGTAGTGACGGAGGTCATACACGTGTGCAACTCGGTTGGAAGCCACGAGAACGGGAATGTCGCCGACAAATCAACAAACACAAATGCGCGAATTTGGGATTCGAAACCACTAACAGTGGACCGAGATCTCATGAAAGCAACTCTGTTCACTGAACAAGGTATGTCAGGCTATTTGGCCTGCCTTACACACTCGACGGTAGGATGGTAAGTGTCGATTGTGCTTGTCGTAAGAGGCGACTGAAGGCGACTCGCTGACTTGGTTGATGTATGTCAAAGTTTCCCAATTGCATGGATCGATGCACAATATATCAATCACTAGGTCCGGTCTCGATAATTTACAGACAGCCGTCATATAGCCGGAATATTGCTGAGTGCGGCGTTAAACAACAAACAAACAAACAAACAAACAATACAGATACGGTTTTTAACGGGGTAACAAATTTCAATTATTTGGTAAGGGTAAACATCTAAATTATGATAAAAATCTACCAGGACATGATTCCAAGTCCTAAATTGTTTACAACTTGATACAATGTGTATATAGTTTAGAACCAAAGGTATAGCATTTTAAGACACCATTAGAAGCGTTATATTGTAATGTACTATTTTTTTATACAGATAGGTGAATGAGTTGGGTTTAACGCCGCTTTTAACAGTATTCCAGTTATATCACGGCATGTCAGCTTAATGTGGGAGGAAAGCTCGAAGTGATGCAGGTCTCAGACGTTTACCACTTCGATGAAACTCACGAGCACGGGTATGGTGCTCACAAATCTAGAAACATAATCGGGGCGAACCGGGATTCGTACCCACAACCATAGGTTTCTGGCGTGCCCAAGGGACGCAACTCTGCACAGCGAATCGCGGCACCTTAGACGACTGGGCAACCCGTGCCACCTATACAGATAGGAATATATCTGTTCATGTTTCGATTGAGCACAGTGTGTCCTTTTCGCCAGATTGAATAATCGCCCGATTATGTTTCTAGGTTTGTCAGCATACCCGTGCTTGTGGGTTTCACCGAAGTGGTAAACGCCTGAGACCTGCATCATTTCGGGCTTTCCTCCCACATTAAGCTGACACGCCGTGATATAACTGTAATACTGTTAAAAGCGGCGTTGACCCCAACTTGCTCACTCACTCATAGAGTGGAACGAAAGCTGCATTTGGATGTAAGTCGTCAATGCTAAGCTATTGAACTTTTGCTGTTGTTGGTTGGATATAATTTTGCGACAGATCCCTTGTATAATTGGTTGACGCTGAGGCTATTTTTGGATTAGATCAAGGGTTGTTTGTACATAATGACCGGTTCGAGTAATGACTCGTGATGGAGTATGTGTGCGGTATGGAGTCAATGAGCAGAATGGAGTTAGTGAGAGGGATGGAGTTAGTGAGCAGAATGGAGTCAATGAGCAAGAGGGAGTTAGTGAGCAGGATGGTGTTTGTGTGCGGTATGGAGACGATGAGCAAAATGGCGTCAATGAACAGGATGGAGTTTGTGAGCAGGATGGAGTTAGTGAGCAGGATGGAGTTAATGATCAGGATGGAGTCAATGAGCAGGATCCCAGCTAGCACACGTACATCGGGCCGTTGGCTTTACATCGGCAACCGCCGGCAATATCGGCATCGGCAAACTGCAGCGGACCGCTGTCAGGCCAATGCTGGTGATTGGCACTGTCACTATTTAACCTGATATGATTTGATTTTGTTATGATAACATAAAAGAAATAACACATTTGTCGATTACAATGTGACAAACATTAGATCAAATATAATTACGAACAATACAATAATTCTATTCGAACTCAAAATATTAACTTTATTTATAAGTTTTAAATTAAATGGATCAAGCACATTCACTGACCATTTTTGGCTGCACATATACAACATACAGAGAAGATACAGACGGGATTCGTCACATCTTACAATTCATTCAGCAAAATACAAGATATTGGCAGAAAGTTTGGAATATCGCGATCGGTTATGTTACGTTGGTCCAACGTTTTCACAACATATTTCAAGGGAAGCTACTCTTGTAATAGAGGGCGCTGTTACTCACGCGCGTCTTTTCAAGCAGACGCCGAAAGGATGATGCGTGGAGGGCTGAGGGAAAACCTATTTTGCGGTAAGTGTTTACTTCATTTCTGTATTTACGAGGTGTTCATTTCATTTTCAAACCTTACAATTGAAACGAGAAACAGTGTTCATTCAAAAGTGTCAACGTGAGTAGAGAAATCCAGGCCTAGATCTATGTGTTTTGGAAGTTAGAGAAACACACTCGCATCAATGTATCCTGCCTATTTTACGTCAGTGACAAAATCCGTGGACTATGTGGTGACACTGCATCCTCGCTGTATATATTGTTTAAACACCATATACATATTTCTAGCAAAACGTGGGGACAAGGGCAAATGCAAAACATGACAAGATATGTTTTATTACCATGTAGATTCTCCGATGTTCAACCCGCGAGTCGCAATCTCGGGGTGAGAGGATGACCGCGGCAAGCAAATGAATAGCCAAACAATTACTTACATCAGTATTTTTGAATGAACATTGCTTCATTTGTCATTGTCACTGTCGTATTTGTTAAGTGTGGGGATGGATGAGGTTAGGAAATTAATTACAAACTCGAATTTACAAGTCAATTTTGTGATTGCTGTCAGCACAAAATGCAGTGAACATGAAATTCATAACGAGGCTTTCGGAAACTTTCAGCATTGCGTGTGCATGTCATGCGGTCTAGCTAATATTCCTACTGATCGATGAAAGGAGCTACACTGCCGAGTTCGGTTTTCGATCACCAAACAGTTGAAATAAAAAAGTGTTTTAGAATTGATGTTTTTTGTCATAGTTACTTGCGAATTTTAAACATTTTCTGGATAAAGGGCGAAATGAAAGGACAACTCTTTTTGTTAACGATCACTATGTATTACAGGGGTGGGCAATTTTATCAAGATCTACCTGGATACCTTACATAGACCTAGGCCAATAGCCTATATCGATCAGAAATCTTATACCGATGTATGGTATTTAATTTGGCATTTTGAGATATGGCTATTTCAGAATCGATTACTAGTTTATATTTAGCAGATATTAACTACAAGAGAGTAAAGGTAAAATTTAGTAATTGCATACTTATGGGAAAGGCTTATACCGTACAGATATACGGACGGGGTGGGGGGTGGGTGGTCTTATTAGGTTAAGATATTTATGATGTACATTTGTGATGAAATACTGAATAAAATATTTTTAAATGTACTATTTCAAATGTAATTGATGCTAAATATATATTACAAGACAGTTTAAAATGTCATTTATTTAATCAAAATTCAAATTAATGGTAAAACTTTGATGAGGAAGAATAGATACTGCAGTACAGATTCTTCAGGACATTATCCATGGTAGAAAAACACACAGAGCCTTGTTTCAAATTTGATTTATTCTGACTAAAGATATATTATTTCAGTTTATCATTATCCCTTTTCCTATGTTTACAAGCAATGAAACTGTGCATAAAATTACTTGTCCGAATACTTTCCTGCTATTTTTTGCATACAAGTGTTTGTAATATGTACATACCTTTGTATCTAATCTTTTAATGATAAACATATATTTGCAGTTTTAGTTTACCATGATATAATCTACATATATATGGTATCATATAATAAATGAAATCTGTTTTGTGGTAACCAGACTTCACAGGATCTGTTCAATATTAGGTCAATATGGGGATTTTCTCACTGCTTTTCAATGGATGGGGCTATGGCTATTAAAGTGAAAATACTTTCCATCGGAAAACATTTCTGCTACATGGCTCCAGATAAGGACTGTATATGTACAAGTGCAAATATACGAGATAAGATGTATGAATTAAGGAAAGGACCTGATATCTGTGTATGGCCAAAGCTTTATTTAAATGTTACTTTTAATTTTTGAGCAATATTCCCCTCAACCTCTTGACATCATCATCATCATAGCTAAGTGCTCACTGCTGCTACACAAACTTAATACATAATATTCTTATATTTCTATTTAAGAAACCCAGACGTTCAGCCATTGCCTGTTTGCAAACATGGATGAGCTGAATGAACTCTAAACAGCTTTTCCAAAATCGAGCAACTGCGAGAGCACTGGTGAGTGGATTAAATTTCTTTAGATGTATTAAGTATGGGAAATTTACAAGTTCGATACATATTGAAGATCCGGGGTAGAATAGGTCTTCAGCAACCCATGCTTGCCATTAAAGGCGACTATGCTTGTCGTATGAGGCGACTAACGGGATGGTCAGGCTCGCTGACTTGGTTGATGCATGTCATCGATCCCAATTGCGTGGATTGATGCTCATGATATTAATCACTGGATTGTCTGGCCAAGACTCGATTATTAACAGACCGCCGTCATATAGCTGGAATATTGCTGAGTGCGGCGTTTAACAACAAACCAAACCAACTGATACATGTTTCTGATTTAAATATTTATAAGAATATATTTAATATCATGTTTGCCCTATTAAGGGCCCCTGACACTTACTAACGTAATCTTCCAAATGAAATTTCATGCTGACTTACTTTTGATGGACATAAAAGAGAGATTGCACACCTAAAACTGTTCTCCAGCAAGATTGTGGGGAGGAGGGTTATCATGTGGTTATTGGGGATGTTTATTTGGCTAAATAAATAGGGTGATATGTCAGTTATAAAATCTTTTTTAATTGACATAAGAAACAGATTAGGGACCTACCATGCAATATGGGGAGGGGTTATGTTATTTGCATATATAATTACACATAATTCAATTTACTTATTTACACATATTATAAACTCATTAATTTACTTACTGGGATTCCAATAATACTAGGGTGGTGCCTTCTGTTTTTAGCCCCTTAATTTGGAAAAAGGCTTTGTGCTGTATGGACAAGTGCGGGTGTACCTAGGGAATATATGAAATTGACAAATAAAGGGCCCATGTTAGAACATTCCTTAAGTGAACCCTGTATTTATTAACAGGTGTCAAGACTTAAAATATTATATACACAAATATGTAAGGTGGTGCATGTGAACAGGGTATTACTTATTCTATTATTCCATTATGTTATCAATAACTTGTTTTGACACACTTGTGAAGTAAATTACTTGAAATTGTCAGAGTGCATGCCATGACTTATAATATGCACACTGTCATTTTTTGCTATCATTTGTAAACAGAAGCTGAGGAGGAAGCCTGCAGCTGGGCTCTTACAAGCCACTGACAAGAACATGGTGACCCATGTAAAAGAATGGCTCCGAGTTCCAGGAGCAAGCTTTGAAATGGCATAAGGAAAACGCTTACTGAAAAACAGAGGTGCAGATAGAGAATCTGCAAACAAAAGTGCTGAATTGCAACGGAACAAATAAATCCAAAAAGTTGGTGTTGACAACATATTTTTCACAGGGTTATGACCCTTGTTTTTGAACTTGGTACATGTACTGCCAGGTTCTCTTGGACACGACTGAAGTTAATAAATGAAACTCTCCGTGCTTATCTTAGGTACAAACTCCAAAAGATGGTTATAAGAGCTTATTTTGTATGGAGTTATGGCCTTTGCTTCATGCTTTTTTAACTTGATGGAATGGGGGGGAAAAATTTGTCTCGCAAAGGAATTTGAAGCCACATAAATGAGAATTTGCAGGTCAAGATGAGGGGGTATATGTTTAGACTGTGTTTTAAAACTCGTTTTGAGAATATATGTTTCACATCCGTCTTGTTGCAGGTAGTAACACTGTTTTCTTGTAAATAAAAATAAATTAATAATAAAGTTTATTATTCTATTTTGCTCTTTGTGTTTAATAATAGGTATTAACTACACATGTATTAGGGTACATAAAAAATAGTACTGTAACTAGTGTAAGCATTTCGATTGTTTTGTACAGCTAGAAGTAATCATGCATATTACTTACAGTTGGTTTTTAAAGTATTAACTATGATAAAACATTATTATCTTTTTAAAAATTCAGTATGTTTAAGTTTTACCTTTTATCTTTGTAACTTTAAGATCAGAGCTAGCTGCAGCTTTTTAGAAATGTTTAGTTTTATGTACCCTAACACTACACTTGGAAAAGTTCTATTGTGGCATCATAAACATGAAATATTAAGATGAGATGTTGTCAGTTATGACTTCTGCAGGCAACTACTTTAGATGACATCAGCCTATTTAGACAATGGCAGATGAAAAAAATAACAAAGCGTTTACAATATAAGTTTGGATGTTTTTTACTATTTTTGAAGATATTGATAATTGTAAATGATTATTGCAAATTGTTAGCCATTTGTTTCATACTTTATGTATTTATTTTGAAGAAAATCAAGAACTCCCATCAAATATTATGAAGGGTAAAAATACTGAACATCCCAACTGCCATTGTAAATGAACAAAGAAGAGAAAGGGGGATGAAGTCTGAATGACCATTGCTTGGATGGTGATAGGACTTGAGGTTGGACAAGGCTGATTCTAAACCTAGATTACTGTCACGTCAAAGTCAACCCAATGCTGTGCTGATAATTATTGTCGACGTTGGGCCGATGTCCATCCGATGCTGATTCCATAACAGTTGCCTATGTCTGGCAGATGGCTGGCCAGATAACTATTTACGACATTGGGCCGATGTCGTTACGATGAGCAAAACTTCATTGGCCCGACGATGTTTGCCGACGCAGGGCCTATGCAGGGCAGGTGCAGTGCCGATGCAGGGCCGATGAAGTTTGCCGACGTTGGGCCGATGTCGATCCGATGAGCAAAACTTCATCGGCCCAATGCAGTTTGCCGACGTTGCGCTGATGGTGTAGCCGACGTTGCGCCGATGCAGGGCCGATGATGGCATGCTACCTGGGATGCAGTTAATGAGCAGGATGGAGTCAATGAGCAGGATTGAGTTAGTGAGCAGGATGGTGTTTGTGAGCAGGATGGTGTTTAAGTGCGGTATGGAGTCAATGAGCAGGATGGAGTTAGTGAGCAGAATGGAGTCAATGAGCAGAATGGAGTTTGTGAGCAGGATGGAATTTGTGAGCAGAATGGAGTCAATGAGCAGAATGGAGTTTGTGAGTAGGATGGAGTTAGCGAGAGGGATGGAGTTAGTGCGCAGAATAGAGTCTGTGAGCAGAATGGAGTTTGTTAGCAGGATGGAGTTAGTGAGAGGGGAGGGAGTTCGTGAGCAGAATGGAGTCAATGAGCAGGATGGAGTCAATGAGCGGGATGGAGTTAGTGAGCGGGATGGAATTTGTGAGTAGGATGGAGTCAGTGAGCGGGATGGAGCCTGAAATGTCATGACAAAAAATAAAAGAAGTTGTTATCCATAAAAAATGTCATATCTTCGAATGGTTGACATGTATGGACAAGGAGCGCACCATCTGTGAAGGATGTCACACATCAGGAAGAGCACATATAACCACACGAACCACGGTACTGTTGAGCTACTCTACCCCGGAATTACCACCGGGCCAAATGAACATGTATGAATCTGGACAAACACAAGAACCGATTGACTGCTCTTTTTTTCACAAAACTCTAGCTGCATCTCGACGTTTTGTAGATAATAGAGTCAGGGACGATTCTCAAAACAGAAGTGTAGAAATTCAGATCCTATTTTTATTTCTGATAAATTTACATTTGTCTACTTTATGATTGCGGATTTGCAAAAGCTAATAGCTCTACACCAGGAAATTAGTTCAGCATGACATAATCAAAACGACACAATGGTAGGTTTTCAAAATGAGTAAATTGGATCCGTACATATATTATGGCTCTTTCCCAACACCATGTCATTCAATATCACTGTCAAGGTGGTAAAAGTTGCACACACTGTACATGAAGCATAACACCCATGACAAGTCCAGAGAACACATATTAGTCGTGAACATTTCAGATACACATTGCTCGACACAGGCAGCATGCACATCACAAAGCATTATCGTGGCATATTGTGGAATGTCTGAAGCGTTAAGATGGCAGATTATTGGAATGAAAACTGCAGGGGACCCGCAAATATCCGGGGTAGAATGGGTCTTCAGCAACCCATGCTTGCCGAAAGAGGCGACTATACTTGTCGTAAGGGGCTAATAACGGGATCGGGTGGTCAGGCACGTGGACTTGGTTGATGCATGTCATCGATCCCAATTGTGTCGATCGATGCTCATGATGTCAAGAACTGGATTGTCTGGACCAGACTCGATTATTTACAGACCGCCGTCATATAGCTTGACTACTGCTGAGTCCGGCGTTAAACAACAAACAAACAAACAAATAAAATCTTAAAAAAACAATAACAAATAAAAACTGCAGGGATGTCATGGAGACATCCAGGAGAGAAGATTATTGAGGCTCGTAAGGCGACGTCCATTGACAACTGAACAATTTTAAAGGCACAGTTGCTGCCAGGCAGAGCCATTTCAATCAGAAACATCAGAAATTGTCTGTAAGCAGTTGGATACAGAGCCAGAAGGCGGACCAAGCATCACAACAAACAACATTCTAGAGACCCATCCATTTGGTATGTGGTATGGGGATGTGTTTCATTCAATTGTAAACTTGACCTTATCAGAGATCACATGCGTCAGAATCCCATCGAGACACTTAAGTCCAGCTCATAATCCAGTAGAACATCTGTGGGACATTTTAGGCCATCAAGTGCTTCAAACAGATTTACCTGTCCAATATAAACATGAACTTGCTGCTGCCTTGCGTGCAAAGTGGACTTGAATATCTCAGCGTCAAGTGCACCATGTGATTCATGAAATGATGAGACGTGTCCCGTCAGTATGCAGGGTAGTTACACGAAATATTGACAAGAACAGTTTTTTTCGCATCTTCCGGTTTGGGATTCTGTTGATGCAGACTGATTTGAAGAAGTTAAATAATTATTGAGTGGCAACAGTAATTTTCACTTTGATGTGTTCCTAAAGATGCCAACAAATCACAATAAATTCCTTGTTCCAAATAAAAGCCTTGCTTTCTAAATGTTTTATGACAGCATTTGATACTCAGAGTCATCTGGAACGCACTACGCCGCAAGTAAAATGACTCAATCACAAAAATATGGGTGGTACTTAATTGATATGTCTTCAAGAAATGTTTAATAACTTTAGATTTGAACACTTTACATATGCATTTGATATTCAGGAAAGCAACATTTGATATTGAGATTTATATATCCAGATACGTCTTATCTTACACAAGCTTTTTTGTAGATGCAAGTACTGGACATTAAATCAAGATATCAGTATATGAGTTGCTTCTACTTTCTGCACCAGCATAAACCTCCGACCTTTAGTAAAATGTATTTTCCTTTCTGTCCACGTGGTGCACGGAATAATATAACTAAAATGACTATTATAGCAAGAACGATCACGATGGAGATCACAATTCCGACAATAGCACCTACAGGAAACCTACCCTCCACAACGTTAACTGTGGTGGACCTTGGAGTTGTTGAAGAAGAGAGACGGCTGGACGATGATCCTACAACAGGGGAAAGCAGTATAGTTTTGTAGGTAATGATAGCTGCAGACGATACGAACCCATTCGTCTATTATATAAAAAAAGTTAGAAAACACGTTCCATAATATTGAGAAGTATATGCCAAAAGCTAAAAGAGTTCATTGTACAATTTGAGCAACACATTAATGTAGTGATGCTATTCCATTCTGTTACCTCATTTTCCGATTGTGCATTTAACAGTGACAACATCAGGCACAGACTTAGCTCACTCTTAAAGACATTCACACAGTTCATCTTCTCTATTTGACCCATTCTTGACACGTCTTTAGACAACATCCAAAACCATGATGCCAACTGATAGAAGCCTGCTCGCGATATTCTGGGCCATGTTAGAATAACTGACGTAGGTTGTTATTGTCAACAACAGAGAAGGCACATGTGATTATATGAGTGAGTTGGGTTTAACGCTTTTAACAGTATTCCAGTTATATTGTGGCGTGTCAACTTAATGTGGGAGGAAAGCCCGAAGTGATGCAGGTCTCAGACGTTTACCATTTCGGTGAAACTCACGAGCACGGGTATGGTTCTGACCAACGTAGAAACATAATCGGGGCGAACCGGGATTCTAACCCACAATCATAGGTTTCTGGCGTGCCCAAGGGACGCAACACTGCACAGCGAATCGCGGCGCCCTAGACGACTGGGCCACCCGCGCCCCGTGAGTATTATGACCATGGCTGTGCCAGCACCGTAACAGATACAGACTCAATACATTGTTTTGGCAGGTACATGGTTGGCAGTCTGTTTTGCCATTACATTCACACGACATTGATGTACACCACCGTCGAAACGAATAATTTTCATCACTGATTTCTGGGTAACGATAGCACAAACACACACACACACACACACACACACACACACACACACACACACACACACACACACACACACTATATGTGATTAATACATACGTATAAGAATTAATCAATCACTACCTTTTCACGCGAATTAATTAATTAATGTTCATGAGTATAGCTAGTCATCGCCTATACATTAACTCGGAAATGATCTGATGATCTGAACTATGACAAAGTATTGAGGGCAAATACTCACCAATTGTCGTCAGCTGACACACGCCGACAGGGATGGCACCCACCACAGTCGCATCCACGATCTTCCATGTACCAGTATCAATCACTCCAACACTGTGTATAGTGAGTGTAGAGTCTGTGTCGTTCGTTGCACTGTATCCAGCCACCGGACTGCAGCTGGGGTTGCAGGTGACGACATACCGGCCATCAGTTGGTCGTACCCACACAAAGCCTGTATAGTTGCTTCTGTCACCTTCTATTGTGTATTCTGTTCCAAGCAGACCGACACCCCCCGGACACGTGGAATCTGTGGGGGAAGCATATTAAACACAAGCTATATAAATGGCTGATAATAAATGAAAGAAAACTATTGATGTTGAAGATATTGCAAATATTCTGCTTTGGTTGTGGGTGTTGCTGATATAAAAGTGCCATCTATTGGAGATCCTTGGCAACACCGCATGTTTGACAAAGCAGGTGCAACAAGTAAAATTGAAACTATTAAAACAATAAGCACTGACTAATTAAGATAACATGTCATGCTTTTATCAGTTATGCTTTTGCAAGGTAATGCATACATCATCCGTATGTACCTATTTACGTATGTATAATACTTATACTCTTCGAGTGACTGTGTCAGTATGGTTTTACGCCACTTTTAGCAATGTTCCAGCAGAAATGGGCTTCATACATTGTACATATGTCGTGAATCGAACCCAGGTCTTTGGCGTTACGAGCGCTTTAACTACTCAGCTACCCGACCTTCCCATTATACTCTGAGTGAGTGAGTGAGGTAACGCTTTACGTCACATCGGCAATATTTCAGCCATATCGTGACGAGCATTTTATACTCTGAAGTTAATATATGCGATATATGATAAACTAACGAAACTGAATCAGAACACAGGAAACATGAATGAATATATATGATACATCACAGTGTATTAAGTTGACTTTTTCCCTGTGTAGAATACACACCAAGATTCATTCAAGCTCAGGAAAGGTTTGCACATACACCTTCACAGGAGGACGTGCCATCATGTCATTATCATATGTACTACGTCATACTTTTAGAAATGCTGATGTAGATTCTGCTCTCTTGGAGGTATGCACACAGTTAAAAGATACCACACGAAGGACATTATTTACAATATTTATTTATGCTAAGACATTAACATTTAACCCGACAAACATTTCAAATTTGTTTCCTTATCTTAAATGCATTGATAACGTTCATTCCCTTACTCATATTTATGGAACCCGGTATTGCTGTCCATGGTAAGTGCAAAACATGGAGACTTAAATGAAACGTCAATGTACTGATTTGAAAATACTAATGCCCTTATGAGATAATGGCAACATGTATATTGAGCGAGGTAGCAATACATTTGCCATCATTGTTGCATACGCACCTGCTGATGTGTGTGTCCCAGCCGTTGTAGGCAAGGAAACTGTTTGAAAACCAAAACACCTCAATAAATTGATCACAACCACTCTACAGTGTCTCATTTCAAGAAGTGTTTGACTTCAGGTATGAAATCCATTATGCTCATTTGCCATACGACTTTTATACATAGACTCTTTAAAAATGTACGGAATCATGAAATATACATGTTAATACCAAGTACCAGAACAAATATAAGTATTGACGACAAACATCCTACGTAAAAACGTTTATGTCTGTAAAATGTAACACAAAAGCACAACCTATAGTTTGCACGTGCCACACGTAGTTGCGCCATACACGTGCGAAGGGTGTCATTTGTGTTTTGACACTTTCAAGGAAGGTCCGTTCATCTGTGTTGATCTTATTTCTGTCAATTATATTTATTCTGCTTATCAAACAGTTGTGATTTACTTGATTGCACTAGTTGTTTGTGTATGAACCGATATCGCGTCTGCAATGCCAGGAGCGCATTAATAGGCTAAGGGCGATGGCGTGTTGGCCTTGATACTGTTGTGCCCAATACATGCTATGTTTCACAGTCAGTGATTAGAAGCCTTGGACAGGTAACAACCAACCCCAAAAATTGACAATCGATACCGTTCAAGGAGCTAAAGGTCAACAACAAGAGCACAAGATCAATTGTTCCAAAACCCGGCTCCACGAAACCGAGGTCAAATGGCGAATCGAATTACTGTAAACTTTCATTAGGCTACGGGAGTACAAGTTACGGGTCAGACGATTAGAAATCGTCTCCATGCAGCTCCTCTCCATGATCGAGGCCACGTGTTGTGCCTCCCTTTACAAACTGTCATATTGCCAACGTCAAAGCGTACACAATGTCGAAACTGGGCTAATCGACGCTGGTCAAGTTTTCAGATAAGTACCACTTTGCACTTCTTGATAGGCGAGGTTCTGTCTTGCGACGTCAAAATGAATGTCAAGCAAATGTCAGTCTGAGATAGCTTTCGCGATGGATCGGTTATGGTGTATGCTGACTATGACAATGATCACTATGACTGAGGCAGCCCCACTCCACATTGTGCAAAGAGTTTCAGTGGATTGTGCAGTCAGGACTTTATACCTACACCCTTTGCTGTCCCATTTGCAAGATGTCTGGGTAGACGTTTTGTCTTTCAGGACGACCATGCCCGTGTTCATCATGAATGAATAATCAATTCTCAACTCGAGCAGCACAACATCCACAGAATGCCATGGCCAGCAATTAGACCATGCCTTTCACCCACTGGAGGTGAGGTGGGTTTAACGTCGCGTCCAAGATTATTGCACTTACATAGCGACGAGCATGCACACCTGTGTGTGTGGCTGCTTGTTCTAGTCACTTCAGATGCTGATTTATAGCGCTAGACCACTAAGATACCATGCCACAGTTTAGAAGGAATACCCCACTCAGACACAGTATACTGACTCTGAGCCGACCAGTACTTGTTTTAGCCTCTTAATGCCGCGCATCAGACAGGGTAACAATAAGTACCATCTTTAAATGTCTTTTGGTATGGCGTGGCCGGGGATCGAACGCCTGACCTTCCGCTCTCAGGGTGGATGCTCTACCTCTACCACAAGGGTAGATAGTGACTGAACTTGCCCTGGAACTGCAAGAGGAGTAAGACAGACTCCCTCAAATTATCATTTGGGGATTCTTATGCAGCATGCCTTGCCAAGTTAATGATTTTTATCAAATCATTTCGGTATTATGCACTACTGATCCTAGAACGTTTGAAATTCCGTCCTCTATCGTCCTTCAAGATCAATTGGCAGTCATCTACTGTCAAGGAATATTGCAAACGAAACGTAACATCATACAGACTTAATCCTTGATGCAAATATCTTACATCCCCCCGAATAATCCGAAATATATAATGAGTCACTTTCTATAAATTTGGAAAATTATATTTTAAAAATAGATTTGCTGACGTACCAATTAGCGGGGATGTGTCAGTTGTATTTGAAGACACATCTGAAAAGAATGAACGAAAAAACGTATGAGAAGCACATCATCTAAGAAATATGTACATTTGCATATAGATATTGAGATTTCTTGAAGCAGCCACATCTAGGGAACAACCATCTTCATGTATCTCAAACTTGACTTTGGTTGAAGATTTTTAAATAGTTCAGTGCGCCCACTCCTCTTTGACACGGGGCGTCTGTGGGGACTACACCAACAGAAGTATTGATCACATGATAAAAATCAGTGTTCAATGCTTCCATAAAAAGCAAAAATACAATTTAGTCAATTCTTATCAGTAAACAATTAAGCAATGAAACCCTTTCCATAATAATAAAACAGTTTAGCTAAAAGCAGAGTCCATTAAATAATTATGTCTACATCACAAGCATGTGTTTATGAATCATTGTCAATCAGTGAAAAAAAGGGTGACAGTATCCTGCACCACCAGTAGGACCCATCATAAACACACGCATAACCAAGTCAACTGTTCGCCTGAAAGACACACAATAACATCTGGCACACATATTTACCATGAAACGTTTTGAATTGTCTACTAAAGATTTGATCAAGCAGGTCTTGAGCAAGAGATGCTCTTTGAAATCTTTGTTGAAACAGCGTGCTTGATTGTACCTCCGAAGTTATAGTTTGTAGACACAAAAGGAGCTACTAAAATATTCCTCATCATAAAGGACAAGTTGAATTTACCCTCTTCCCATGCAGTCTTTTTTTGTCACTCGGAATCTTTATGCATAAATCTAGATATAAAACTGAGAAGTGGTTTTTAACTGGTCTCGCATGGATACATATTTGGATGGGAATTGGCTATTTGACCACAATGAAATGGTATCAGATCATTGATATGCCGGAACTTTGACTTAAACGTATACACAAATCCTTTTTTCACTTTGACAAATCAGTCCCGAGGCAATAACATGTACTTTTTAAAAAAAAATTCATCTTAATCCATATCACATGTCATGTTTTCACATAAAAAGGTCGTTTATAATGTTCCCGGTGGTGAGTATAAACGTGTTTTATATTCTTTTCACAATGATGACTCAATTAATTTCAGGGCTTACATATGCTGTGCCCACAGAAGATTCTCAACTTCAAGTCTACTTTATTAAAGATGGCCAAAAAATGAGACTGCCAACCTTTTTTTGGTACGCGGGATTCAGGGGTCTATTTAGAGGGTATTCGGTACTTAGCGATGTGGTAGGCGGGACTCAGGAGTCTATTTAGAGTGTACTCGGTACTTAGCGATGTGGTAGGCGGGGCCCACATAAAATCGTATTTGGTATGCAGATTCAACATTTATAAAAAAAGTTAATGGTATTTCAGGGGTGAGCAAATGATATTCAGAATTAGAAAATTAGACTCGGGGGAGTCAGAAATGTAGAAACGTTGATCGTGCATGTTTTGAGAATAAAATAAGAGAGGCCTTTCCTGCAGCATCAGATAACGGTTTCATGTACGCAAGTCTTTGAACTGAATATGTGGTTTATGTACACCGAAAATGCCAAATAGTCCACCATAGCTTATATGTAACAAAGAATGCTAAGTTCGTTTAGTTTCTCTCTGGATTTCTCTCATAGGCATTAACTTTACTTGTCTGAAAAATACACTAAAATATTTGAGTCACAGGAACTTTTGTTGTTGAGTATATTTATCCTGCTGGCCCATTTTATTTGCCCTGTTTGATTGTAAACATAATTCTGAGTAATTCCAAATAAGTCTCTGTTAATTCATCGATCTTGATCTTCAGCGGTTCTTACTGATTTCAGTGTTAGCCATAGCGGTACAAACAGACAGGGAATCAACACGTTTGTTTGATTTCTAACGTCGCTGTCGCCAATATTCCAGCTATAAGACGGCGGTCTGTAAGTAATCGAGTCTGGACAAGACAATCCAGTGATTGACAACATGGGCATCGATCCTCGGAATTGGGATACAATGACATGCACCAACCAAATCAGTGAGCCTGACCACCCGATCGCCTTAGTCGCCTCTTACGACATGTGAAGTCGCCTTTTAGGACAAGCAGGGTTGCTGAAAACCTATTCTACCCCGGATCTTAATCAGCACGTACAAACACAGAGACACACAAGCATGCAATGGGCACACATCAACCAAATCACTTGTAAACCAGAAAACCTTGATTTGACATGTTTGATGTTCTAGTTATATTGGCATATAAAATATTAGCGTTACACTGATTTGAAAGTGTCAAAAAAGGGAGTGAAAATACTCACTTTCTGTCGTCATTTGACACACGCCGACAGGGATGGCACCCACTACATTCGCATCAACGATCTTCCATGTACCAGCATCTGCCACCCCAACACTGTGTATAGTGAGTGTAGAGTGTGTGGCATTCATGGTTGCCCTGTACCCAGCCACCGGGCTGCAGCTGGGGTTGCAGGTGACGACATACCGGCCATCAGTTGGTCGTACCCACACAAAGCCTGTGTACTTGCTTCTGTCACCTACTATTGTGTATTCTGTTCCAAGCAGACCGACACCCCCCGGACACGTGGAATCTGTGGGGGATAACATGTTGAACACTAGTTATATAAATGGTTGCTACAAAATTAAACAAAAGTATTGGTGTTAAATTTAAGGTATTGAAAACATCCTGCTTCGGTTGTGGGTGTTGCTGACACGAGGAACACCATCTTCTGGAGACCCTTGTCAACATTACGTGTTCGTGAAAGCAGGTGCAAGTTGAAACTATTGAAACCACATGGACTAAGACATTAAAAGACAGTTAATGCTATTCCAAGTCAGAATGTCGAAAACCATTACTTACAAGTACATTTAATACATGGTTATCTTTGAACTTAATTAATATACATGGACATTAAGATGTCCTACGAGAGATATGGTACACAAAACTGAATTATTTGATAACCCCTTCATCGTAAGACCACAAGAGACATGAACAAATCGTGTGTACAAATTTCGATGTATTGTGCAGATCAATGGATGCTTTCACTGGAGATTATACACACCAAACTGGAATTGTTTTCACATAAAGCCTCACAGGAGGATTGCCATCACATTATGAAATGGATAGTCTCTATTACACGTGCTCAGGCGCACTGGATGTATTTCTTTCTTAGTTTCTTTGTCTTGTTTGTTTAAGTGTTGTTTAACGCCGTACTTAGCAATATTCAAGCTGTATCGCGGCAGTCTGTAAATAATCGAGTTTGGACCAAACAATCCAGTGATTGACATCATGAGCATCGATACAATTGGGAAACGATGACATGCATCAACCAAGTCAGCGAGTCTTATCACCCGATCCCGTTAGTCGATTCTTACTACAAGCAAAGTCGCCTTGTACGTCAAGCATTGGTTGCTGAACACCTAGTCTGCCCAGATTTTCACGGGCCTAACATTAATGTAAAAGATGTACACCACTTTCTTCTTGTCTCTGCTTTCTTCTCATAATGGTTTAGTCGTATATTTTGTAGTCTGGGTCACTTCTTCAATTTAGGAAGTTGTACTTTATTTCAATACAGCACATTTGGGACATCCGCGTGACCTGCAAGCCATTATTATGTCTTTATAAATACATCTGATTATGTATGATATATCTAAGTATACTGTGCATAATACTCACTAGTTGCCTTTAGCTGACACACGTCGACAGGTTTAGCACTGGCATCGTTTGCGTCCCGTATGCTCCAGGTTCCAGCATCTGCAGGCTTGAAGCTGCTTATAGTGAGTGTAGAGTGTGTTGCGTTCTTTGTTGCACTGTATCCAGTCACGGGGCTACAGTTGAGGTTGCAGGTTACGACATTCAGTGAAAAACTGTTAATAAGAAAATGAAGGAACCTCGGAATAATCTCGACACAACAGGTTTCTTGTTAACCAAGTACGAATTATGCTCTAAGGGCATCACCAGCATCACGATCTTTATGCATTGTTACACACATCTTCATTGATATAAGACACTCATAAAAACTAAATCAATAGTCGTGAGGTTGACAAGGTTATGTGACAATGTAATATATTGTTAAACAAAGATTGTACCTGTATTACATTGCTTCTGTTGAGATTCAGTAGAAGTTCATTCTATTCTATTTGGAAAATGATTAGTTATGTAAGCAGTTGTGAGGAGGTTATTACATTTAGATCTGATAATCTGTAAACTTCCGGTATAACATAATTGGATCTTAAACGTTATAGAAACATGTTGAATATTCTGTGATGCTCTGGTGTCACTGACTGGTCTAGCACTGTGTTCAAAGTGCCTGAAGCTGGTTCAACTATATCAGTGGGTCCCTGTCTCATCTAACTTTTCACCTTGGTCTGCAGCCTCGGCCTATGTAAGAAGCCTGACCACTATTGCAGTTCTTGCCATTGTCATTTTAACTGCTCTCTCTTTCTATACTGCTATTGAATATTGTACTGTCCCTGTATTGTGTATTGCCATTTAATTGCTTGGCAGGTAATTCGTATTGATTTGCAAACCTAGCTGATTTTGTGATACAATTGTTGATCGTTTACCATTTGTTGGTTGTTTGCTGTCTTCATACTAAATTATTTTACATACATATTTATAGGTAAACACATTGCTCCAATTTGAGAATCGATACGAAAAAACAATTTGTATTACATGTTAAAATTTTAATACAATTTCAATCACCTCTTCTCCATAATGTTGATGTTTTTATACCTCACTACATCCAATCATTAGTGAAATGAACTAAATGTGTACTCATTGTGGATTAGGGATTAACAGGACAGTAGATAGATAGATAGATTGTCTTTATTTCCTCCAGTACTGAAGATACATTATATAATATACATCGTAGATTAGCACTTGCAATCCTCTGGTGACTACTCAACTGGTTGGTTGGTTTGTTGTTTAACGCCGCACTCCTGAATATTCCAATAGTCTGGACAAGGAAAATTCAGTGATTGACAGAATGAGCATCGATGCAACTGGGATACGATGACATGCATCAACCAAGTCACCAAGCCTGACCATCCGATCCTGTTATTCGCCTTTTACGACAAGCATAGTCGCCTTTTACGGCAAACATGGGTTGCTGAAGACCTATTCTACCCCGGATATTCATGGGTCAGAATAAATGTCCCAGTTGTCAGCTGAGTTGTGGTGGCTATCACACTGACTGCTATTCTAGTTATCAAGTTAAATTAACTATGTGACATGTTTCTGGGGAGCAATGAATGTATCGACATTTTGAAAAATAAAATTGGTTCTACTTATCACATACAAAAAATGATAAGTATATAGAGAGAATCACGGAAACAAAGGAAAGAATCTATATAGGAGGATTTTCCACGTATAATGTTTCTCTCTCGAGAATTCACTGTACCTGCCACCAGATGGTTGTCCCCATATAAAGCCTTTGAAGCTGCTTCTGTCACCTACAATTGTGTATTGTCTTCCAAAATGAGCCACTCCCCCAGGACACGTGGAAGCTGAGTCTTGAACACAATTTGTACAAAGGTTTAGGACTAAATGAAACACAATGTATGTTAAAGCTATTTTATATATTATATTATGTTCTAATTGTAGGTGTGCTGATACAATAGTGACATCTGCTGGAGACCATTGTCAAAATTACATGTTTATATGCAGGTGCAAGAGATATCGTTGAAGCTAGTGAAAGTATTGGATGATTAAAATATGTTTAATACTATATCTGGTCAAGCTTTAAAAAAATAGATTTACAACATCCGCATGTACCTGCATAATACATGGTCATCATTAAACTTAATCTGCTTTGCTTGCATACATTCGATGCATGTTCAAAGCGCTGGTCTTGTTCATAGATCAGCGTGCATTCCAATTGCTTTCTTATCTCCCTAGAGAGTATACACACCGAGCATCCTTCACGCTCTAGAAATGTTTACATACAAAGCTTCATAGGACGACGTATCATCACATTGCTAACACACATAATGAGTAAGTGAGTATGGTTTTACGCCGCTTACGCATTATTCCAGCAATATTACGGCGAGGGACACCAGAAATGGGCTTCACACATTGTACCCATGTTGGGAAAGGAACCCGCGTCTTCGTCGTGACGAGCGAACGCTTTACCCGCTAGGCTATCAGACCGCCCCAACACATTACGACCAAGATATGAGAATACATAGTCTTATAACACGTGATCAGTGGATAAAGTGTTCAGTCTGCCATCTTCACGCCTATATATCTTTGTTTATGTCACAGTCAACTGAGTGTCCTCATTCAGCTGACAGATCAATTTTGGGTGTTGATCAGAGATGTTAAATGGCGTAGCCTCAAAACTGGTAGGCAGACTATCATTGCAATCGTGATAGTCCATGTAGTTTTCTGCAGTTAACATAATACATTATCAAAGATATATCTGCTAGACCTGTACCAAGACAGATGGCTGTGCTTAATGTAAAGATATATTTTGGGACCAGACGTATCAGACAACTTGGAAAGTTAACGGCTGGGAACTCAAAATCAGTGACATTGTTATTAACCTATCAGAAACAGTAGTCCGTTGATAGGTTTGGCCTTATTTTGTGTTGGTTAATGGAAACAAACGCAAATATTTGGTCACCAAATGCCATGAAATTACATACAATCTATATGTTTTCAAATTACTTACAAACATAATTGCAGGTTGATAAAACATGATTAATCATGACGAAAATATAAAATTTATGCCTTTAGCAAGGCTACCTTTTTAAATTATAAACATACTTACCATTGATGAAAGAAAGAGTCAGAATCAGTAAGATGAGTACTTGATTGTGTTTAACCGTCATTTTCTACAAACTGAAAAGAGAAATACATAGTGAGATTATTGTTCTCCTCATCACGCTTCTTAATAATGTGATCGAACGCTAGACATCTACATTCGGGGTAGAATAGGTCTTCAGCAACCCATCGGGACCACTCGATCCCGTTAGTCGTTAGACAAGCATAGTCACCTTTAACGGCAAGCATGGGTTGCTGAAGACCTGTTCTACCCCGGATCTTCACGGGTCGAGTGTTATGTCGAATGAGTGAGTTTGGTTTCACGTCGCTTTTAGCAATATTCAAGCAATATCACGACGGGGACGCACATGCTTATCACATTGCACCCAATGAGGGACTCGAACAATGGCCTTTGGTGTGATGAGCGAAAATTTTAATCACTATGCTATCCACCGCCTCTGAGGCAAGTAAAACAGTAGCAGTAGTAGTAGTAGTAGTAGTAGTAGTAGTAGTAGTAGTAGAAGTAGTAGTAGTAGTAGTAGTAGTAGTAGTAGTAGTAGTAGGTGAGGTTAAATGGGGTTCAAAGTCGCGTCCAAGATTATTGCACTCATTTTGCGACGTGCAAGCTCGCGCGTGTCTGGCTGCTTGTACCAGTTTAGACACGTGCAGTATGTGGGAGGGCATTATCCTGGTACAACCAGCAGCGGTTCAGATGGAACCAGGACTAAGATAACGTCTCTAATATTGTGTTATCATGAACGCTAGGAAAATATGGCCAATGTTTCCAACATTCAACTCGGCGCGTAGCAGATGATTTTCAAAAATCCGTGGCGTTGCGTAAACGTTATTTACGGCTAAGCAAAATTGTCTTTCTGAGCGCCTGAAAGCTAAACAATCACTGCATGTTGTTCACAAAAAGGACACAGTGCAATGCTCCCAACAAACACTCAAACGACCCCATTTTGCACCATGCATTAACTTGCATCTGCAAATTGTGAATCACGACCTTAAAAGAGATGTCTGCGTGAATACGTCTTGAAATATGCATTATTTAAGTTTAGAATAAACTTACTAAAAGATTGACACAGGATGTTTTTCGGTTCATTGAGGGATGAATCGAAAAACCGATGTGAAATTTGTATGAATCCGAGTGGCACATCGGTTTTTCGATTATATCTCAATGAACCGTAAAACATCTACAATCAATCCTTATATTTAAATTCGACAACGAAAACATGTGTCATCTACAATAGTTTAAACAACAACAGTTTTATATATCAAAGCAGAACAAATGACGAGATTGATAAACATTCCAAGTGTAGGAATACATACTGTGGCGTGACATGAATCAGGTGATTGTTTAATTTGACACGCCCACAAAGTCAGTAGACAATCAACGGAGAGTATGATCAAAGTCCATAGGACCAGTCAATCAATGCAAGACGTGAGAAGAACCGCGACAGTCAGACTGTAACAAACCTGAACAAATATGTCCAGGTAGAGGCGGTTGTTTCAAAGTACAACCAGATTCAGTTATCGCCAGATTCAAACATTAGTTCCCTGAGGACGGGAAGAGAAAGTTGGAAAAATGCGGGATAGAAATGAAACCGAAGACATGACATTTGTGGAGCCCCGGAGGACAAAAAAGCGAGCCTGCTCGTTTGCTGTTGCATTCCTTCTTGGCCTCAAAGGGTTGTTTGGACAATGAATACGCTCACATTATGTCCTGTGCAGGACGATACACGTGAGCAGAAAGGGATATTCCCTCCACTGTAACATTGGGATTCCCGACATTCCGCAGTGAAAAAGTAGTCCGCTTCGGTTGGCGCGGCTTAATTTTTTATATTCTTTGGGAAATGTATGCATGACCAATACAGCTGATCAGAATGAAGGAATTACGATGAACACAACGAAAATTAATTATGTATAAATAAAATTTATATAATGCACTGTTACTTTACAAGCGTACATTTCACACATGTACTTATGCATGCATCACCAAACACACACACACACACACACACACAAACACACACACACACACACACACACACACACACACACACATACATACATACACTAACTCATACTCACACACACTAACACATATACACACATACACACATACATACACACACATACACACAAACAGACATACTCATAGGCATACACACACATTCACACACATACACATACACACAAACACAAATACAAACACACAAACACACACTCACACACACTTCCCATCCAACCATTTCAAATGTTCAGCTACCAATGAATATAGTATTATCACCTTTACTTAAATCTAAAGGAATGCATTCACAGATTTCCGTTTGACCACCTTTATAAGCACAGTTTAATTTCATTGCACAATTTTAATGTAAATGTATGTGAATGGTCCAAAGAATGTGATATTGTGAACTCTATTTGTACAAACTGTTCATCCGGTGATGCCTAAATTACTGAATAAACTGTCTGTCTGTCTGTGTGTCTGTCTGTCTGTCTGTTTAAGGAGACATCTAAGTGATTATGTAACTGCTGGTCGAAAACATGTACAAATTAAAATACTGTACGAATACATAAGCAGAACAAAGCATCTCACCTGTGGCTGGGGCAGCAATTCACAACATCCAGTCAAGACGTAGCCACACGCACAGCCGTTCAATCAACCGTTCAGGGTATGTTTACCCGCCTTGACAGCAACACGCGCAATGTCTCTCAGTTCCTTTGTCACTTGGGGGCAGAGTCGTGAAAGACGGCGCAACTCGCTCCACACGTTCTTTAGGCGTATTGTTGATCACAATCTGACAGCTACGCGATAAATCGCAAGGAACAATTCAGAACGAAAGCTGGTTGGTAAAACATTGTTTTATCATGAAGTCATTTTTGGAGATTCGAACATGCGAACAGCCTGAAGACGTCATGAACTTTCTTTCTTTCATATGACGTCTCTTTGTTTTGTGTTTTGACCTTTATAAGCGAGATTAAACACTTTACACGAACCAGTTTACTCTTACTGGGTATTTTTTTACCTTTATTTCTACTGATGTACTTTTTGACCGAAATGTCGCCCATATATCAAGCAATCAGACAGTGCAACATCAAGATATCGTATCTATGTTTGTTTGTTTGTTTGTTTTTTGTTTAACGCCGCACTCAGCAATATCCCATCTATGACTGCGGTGTGTGAATATTCGAGTCTGGACCAGACAATCCAGTGATTGACATCATGAGCATCGATCCACGCAATTGGGATACGATGACATGCATCAACCAAGTCAGCAAGCCTGACCACTCGATCATATCTATGACATTACGTTACAAGTTGAACAAATGTAACATGTATTACATGACTGTCTCCAAACGGAAAAAAATACGTTATCATGAAATCTGAGATTTGCGATTGTAATTGAACCAGTTACAGTTTCGAATTTGAGCACGGGTGACCTGTCATTTAAAGCGCAGCAATTCGCTATACAGAGTTGCGCTCCAGAAAAATATAATCTAAGGGGAATCTGACGTCTACAGACCTGGATTATTTGGAGCAGTCCCCCACCCCCACACCCTACGAGGCTTTACATATAAAGGCAGGTATCCTGAGGATTTTCTAACCACTACAACATACCTTTGTGAACTCCCTGAGAGAAACGAATGAGCCATAGCTTAAGAATTCCACAGGAAATCAACGTCTGGGTTTTACAATAATATCAACTGTCATCCACCTGTATACATTATTTGATTGCTGTTCGAGGCCTAATAATATAACGCCTAACCTGGGCTCACTGTACATAGCGCTCTATGAATGATCGTTCTTGCTGTTACTTGTTGTTGATAAAAGCTGGTGAACACTTGTGGAGAAAGGCAGAGAGTATTTGTGAAGTGAAACCTCGCCGTTAAATTTCGTCAGTAGTATGATGAGTCAAGGCTCAATAATAGATAGTTGGTGGGTGAGTGAGCTTGGGTTAATATCACTATATATGGTATCACGGCATGCCAGCTTAAGGTAGAATATAAGTGACAAAATCCAGTTCCATAATCGAGTTCATTGTACGATTCCGACTAGATTAAGAGTTTTTGAATCATAATGAAAGAGTGATCATACCGGGTTTCGAGAAAAGTGAGTGGTGGCACCCGTCACAAACACATGCAAAGGCAAGTCAATTGTTAATCTAAAAAAAACACATGGTACAAATCAAAATAGGTAATTTCATTGGACATATTTTTGGTCGCTGATGCGGAAATGTCACATGCGAGACGGACACGTGCTGTAGAAGTATACAAAGAGATAAGAGGACCGTGTTGAATGTATTTCAAAGGTGCGTGATGTGTTTATTGGTAGAATGCAAACACTGAAAACGAGGAAACAGAATTGGAATATACCCATTCTGCCCCAGCCAGCTATCATCCAAAGGTTGGCTGCCCTATGTGAAACGCTTGTAGTTGTTTCAACAGACAAGCCTCGAATACCATAACCATTGTATGTAGGCATTAATGCATTAATTGATTGATCAAAGAACTTATTTGTAATCTAAGGAAAGAACCAAGTTCACTCCTCGCACAACATTTGATTTTTCAACTTTCTGCACTCCTATCCCACAAACAAAACTGAAGTAAAAACTTCATTCCTTGATCCAAAGGACATCTGTCACTAACCTGGTGATCATTGATTAACTTACATATCTATCATCAGAGGGTCAGGACCATTTGACAAAAATGAAATCAAAACAATATGCTGGACCTCCTAACTGATCATATCTACGTCCAATTTGAACCTGTGAAGGACCGGGGTAGAATGGGTCTTCAGCAACCCATGCTTGACCTAAAGGCGACTATGCTTGTCGTAAGAGGCGACTAACGGGATCGGGTGGTCAGGCTCGCTGACTTGGTTGAACCATTACATCGTATCCCATTTGCATTGATCGAAGCGCATGAGTTCAATCACTGGATTGTCTGGTCCAGACTCGATTATTTACAGACCGCCGTGATACAGCTGTAATATTGCTGAGTGCGGCGTTTAACAACAAACAAACCAACGTCCAATTTGGGGCACGGATTGTTTTGATACAAATCGGATCTGAATCGGAATTTCTGCTCGGATTGGCAAAATCAAAACAAGGGTTTTTTGCCAAGCAGTTTCAGCTTCAGATTTATCGGTGATCAGATATTGTTCAATAACGTTCACATATCCAATTCCCTTCCACTGAATAACCCACCTGAACTAGAAATAAAGGAGACCAAAGAGACCGCCTCATCTGTTTCAAATTGAGATCTATGTATAAACATAGTGACAACACACTCTCCACATGACTGTATGACAAGAGGGGTGACCTCAACTTTCCAAACAGTCAACTATCCCTTTATGTCTAGCAATATTCAATCAGCTTCACCCTTTGGTGGTCACATTTCCCAACTTTCGAGGTCCAATCCGTCAACTATCCCTTAATGTCTAGCAATATTCAATCAGCTTCACCCTTTGGTGGTCACATTTCCCAACTTTCGAGGTCCAATCAGTCAACTATCCCTTAATGTCTAGCAATAGTCAATCAGCTTCACCCTTTGCTGGTCACTTTTCCCAACTTTTGAGGTCCAAAAAGTCATGCTCTTTCTACCCAGATTTTAGAGAGCATCATACGACTTTTGCTTAGAAGTTGTTTGATCAATGTTGAACATTCTTTGTGAAGATGACTCAACCAGAAATGAGTTGTGGCCGTAATATCATCCGCTTTCGTCAGATTACACGCAAAAACATTTCGGGACATTGTGAACCAAAATTTGCTAGAAGCTTCCTGTGAGTTTCAGACACACAATCTCATCCGTTTGAAGTTTGAGGTACGAGTTAGTGAGCAGGTTGAAGTTCTTGATTGAGACAGCGTTGAACTAATTACATGATGACATATGCATGAAATATCGATGGATTGAAATCAAAGTAATGATAATGAAAGCTCCATCAGACCATACCTATGCTTGTACGACAAGCATGGGTTGCTGAAGACCTATCCTAGCCTTCATCACGTAACAACCAAGTTTATATCCTGGTCAACCACACCCTGTACATCACTTGCTTGCTAACGGTGGAAGAACCTACACCGAGACGTCGCCCCTAATTGTATTATAGGTGTTCATCCATACATCGTATCCTTACTTATTATAAAATATCCCAGTAAAAGCGATAGTATCAATATCATTGCGCTTTGACAAGGAACGTGTCATATTGAGTAAATTCCTCTGAATGTCTACAATGTGTGAAGCCCATTTCTGGTGTCCCCCCGCCGTGATATTGCTGGAATATTGCTAAAAGCGGCGTAAAACCATACTCACTCACTCACTCTGAATGTCTATCATAACATTCCTGGAATGACTTGACCAGGAGTTTGGTGGTGAAATCTTGTTTAGAAAGTTAATTCGAAAATCGAATACCTTATTAACTGGGAAACGTAGACGCCAGAAGCAGGAGCAAATAGACATGAAGGGGATGGGAAAACCGAAATCATCCTCATTATCATGCAGAATGGAACAGAGCTGCCATCCTATTGAAGTTCTGTGCATACATCCAGATATGAAACTGAACCTGAGTTTTCGATTGTTTCTGTGATTTCCAACTCTAGTGGATAGATGGGGTGAAGATACACATGTAGCTTGTCATTGTTGAAAGAAATGGGGTCATCTGTATGTCTAAGATTAAATAACATCAAGTATATGTTTTGAATTTTTTAACATCCACATATGATACAACTATCTGACGTAATCACTTCTACGAACATCGCCATACCTATGAGTTATGCATTTAAAAATGGACCTAGCTCCCGTAAACGTTTGAGTGAGTGTGGGTGAGTTGGGTTTAACGCCGCTTTTAACAGTATTCCAATCATATCGCGGCGTGTTAGCTTAATGTGGGAGGAAAGCCCGAAGTGATGCAGGTCTCAGACGTTTACTACTTCGGTGAAACCCACGAGCACGGGGATGGTGCTGACAAACCTAGAAACATAATCGGGGCGAACCGGGATTCGAACCCACAATCATAGGTTTCTGGCGTGCCAAGGGACGCAACTCTGCACAGCGAATCGCGGCGCCTTAGAGAACTGGGCCACCCGTGCCCCCTGTAAACGTTTGAGATCATCGGTCAATTCCACGAGTAGGTAGACAAATTAAATAATGAGTGTCACATCCCAGATAGCATTCAGACGTTGTCCCAACCTTGCAATGGTTGGCAGTGTCGCGGTCGCATTTCGTACTTGACCCAACGTTCTTACCCCATCAGGTAGCATTTCGGATTTTTTTTCAAGGGACGCTACTCTTAAATGAGAGCTTCTCACAGATTGCGCTGTGTTTTTGCGATTCTGTTTCAGCAGATGACGCGACACAAGTAAACGCTTGGTCATCAGTACTGTTTTCCTCGAATATATAGAGGTAAATGTTTAATTGATGTCTTATTATAATGTTCAAACAGTACACGAGGAAAAAAAACGACCATTGTTCATTCAGAAAGATAAACACAAGTAATTATTTTCCAGAATTTGAAAATATTAACTAACGTCATGACCACAGCCGGATAATATGTCAATTTGGTTGCTTGCTAAATATACCATACTGCGCAACTAGCACCCCATAAGTATCCAGCTTGTGCGTATTTTTAAATTGTTCGTGATTTTGAGGACAACATAGTGCAAAGTAATTTGCACCGTATCTCATAAGGTGCATCGTCGATCCTAGCCTGTTCTAACAATTTGAGGTCATCGGACAGCGAGCGACCACATGAGTACCTAATAAAA